GATTATCGGCCTTCAGCTGTTCTAGTATATCCGAAGCACTGAAGCTTAAACCTGTTGGCTGGCCGTAGCTGATAGGGTGAGGCTTGATCCGCGGGAATTCGCAGCCAAACTCGCTCAAGAGACGCATGACGCGCGGCCGAAAGGTGCGGGCAGAGTACTGAAGGCGCTCAGCAAGCCGCAGGTTGCTGCATCATAACGGCTTGTAAGATGTAGATTCTACTACAGCGTAGTATGCTGGAGTGCGGCGATGTATAGTCTGCTGGGAATTCGACACTTTTCACAGGATTCCAAGTGACACTAAGATACGACATGACATGCAGTGCAGTGTGGGAGGGAAACAGTACACTTTCATCGGACGTCTAGTAATAGTGGGACTTGTCACGTTTTGTGCAAGCATGGCGCTGTGCACACGATGCATTCTGCATGAAACTAACTGTACAGCAGAGGTGCAGAACACAGAAAGAGCAGGCCTCAACCAAACGGCGCCGGCTCTATTGAGTCCCCCACAACGCGCGGAGACCTGAGCGATTCATGCTTCCTACTGGGGAGGCAAGCCGAGGGGAATTTGCGCTCCTTCATTTTCCTAACATTTCTGACTATGTTGAGAAGAAGGTTCAAAGTTACTGTCCAGTTTATTGTTAGAGCACTTCTCGTCATCTTTCTCACTTCCTGCTTGTCTGAGGCCAACCAAACAGGTACGACATTATGCGCATCTATTTGGTACAGGGGGCATCGTCCTTCGTGCTGGCAGATTTCCGTTGCCTGGTTGACCAGTTCGGTGGGGAGTCTGCAGGCGGCGGTCGCATAGTGCAGACCAAATGCGAGGCAGCCAAAACGACCGCAACACAGCAACACCGAGCGGCAACCGCATAATGCAGACCGAATGCGAAACAGCAAAAACGACCGCAACACAGTAACAGCACCAGCGATGGCTTGCAAAGCTTGCATAGTGCATGTATAACAACGGAACAGAGCGGGCGTTGCTTCAGTAATGTGTCACAGATAGCTGCATGCCTGCTACGAGCTATGTATGTCGCGCACCTCAGTGGCATGAGGTCACAAACTGCGAGGCGAGGTTTCAGCTCCACCACTAACTTTTTAAGCTGCTCCCCAGCCTCTCTTAGGCCAGCAACAGCGTCTGTCTGGACGACGGGATGGCAGTGGAAGGAAATGTTGTGAGCCGCCAATCCCGCGGCGAACTCCTCTAAACCTTTCAGATGAAAATCAACGTGACGACTTGTCCGCTGGAAGGTGTGCCCAGGTACGACCAGGTGAAGAACGTGTAAAGGTGTCCCTAGGGTAATTGCGACATCCTGAAAGCGGAAGACACAAATGAACGACTTATGTGATTGAATCGGCCATGCTTTGCTTTAATTGCGGCTTCCTGAAAGCTGAGGACATAAATAGACGATATACGTGATTGGCTCGGTCCTACTCTGGTCTAATCAAAATGGGAATTTAAGCATGCAGTCAAAGGAACGCGACGAACGGCGGAGGGCTAACCTGAGCGAATAACAGAGCCCAGTTATCTTGAAGCCTAAGGTCCCTTTGAAGTAGGCATAGGACGGAGTTTCCTTCAGTGTTAGGATTGCGCAAACTTGGAGTGAGGCAACGAGCCCTGCTGCTGCCTGCAGCGTCCTGCAACCAAGACGTGTTGGTTGCATCGAGAGAAGGTTGGGTGAAATGGCATTTTTTGCACCTCTGAAACTTTGTTGATTCTACTCTTCTTCTCTTTGTGCTGCCACTGCACACCTTCTCATCTTTGTCGCGTCCAGGCATTTTCCGAATGTTGGTGTGAGGCTCTGCCCTTCAGGACAGGTGCGTCAGGGTGACAAGCCGCTTTGGGACAAGCCAAATATATTGACATACATTAAAAGTATTTCAAAGCATTAACGTCTAATTAGCTCTGATTGTAGGTTTTCGGCGAACTCAGCGTACGCCGACGCTGAGCTCCGACGGTCACGATGGTCACCTGCCACTGCCGCCACAGAGTTTGCTGAAGGCAGCATGATGGCAAAAATTGGCAATATATTCAAACTATCTGTGTACACTTTTCGCGTTATGGTAGCCTGCTATCTCTCAATTTTTCGAGCAAGCTCTTCAACATCACGAGAGTGCATGAATTCGTCTTAACGACCAATACAACAGAACCTGCAGTTCTGCACTGTCAAAAACTCGAAACGCTACAGTTTGTTCAGTGCCAGACAAGCCCTTGAGCGATCCTTCAGCATGCATGTGCATTATTTTCTCTCTTGTTTATAGAATACACGTTGCTTCGTTGGCCCATCCAGATCACTGCACAGGCCTTCTACCCTCGTTGGAGTTTACGGCTCTCCCTAGCTTCCCCATTCTAGCAAAGGTGGCAGTTCCAACGAATAGCACTGGAAGTTTGTTTTTTTGACCACAGGATCTAGCCTTTTCTGAACTGGGGAACTGTCCTGTTTGCTTGCGTCGCCAAGCAACTCCATAATGAATGTGACGCATTAACTCTATCGGAGGCCACTGCACAACACGAAGGTAGCATTAAGCAACCAGAAAAATTGCAGATGCAGTTTATCATTAACATTCAATCGCAATTTTTCCGGTACATTTGACTTCACCATTGGCCAAGGTCGTCCAGGCGCCAGCAGGCGCAGCGTTATGATCCTGCGGATTCATTGGGCAAAGTTGGGCTATGCTGGTGTCAATGGATGTAATTGGGATCTGCCTTTACTTGTATCTTCGGTGGCCTGGCAGCCAAGGTTCCGTCTGCAAGTATTCAGGGTAGCTACACAGTTCCGAGCGGAGCGAACGCATTTGCAAGTGATGCAGCAGATGACTGCAGCATCCCATTCCGAAGGAACTCCTTAATACCGATGTCGAGAGGGACTACGAATCCAAGATATACAAAATCGAAGCTTTGTAGCTCATGTGAATACACGTAAGGTCCAAAAAGACACCTAGTATTCCTTATGATGCATTGGGAATATTTGGGGGTACGCTCGTGCCTTCGTGTTGCCTGGGCGGATTGAGGCACAGCCAAAGCGAGTGAGCCACCAAAAAATCCAAGAATGCGGCTGTCACAAAGCAAAATACAGCTCATCACTCGTTTCAAAAGCATTCAGTGCAGGAGGCTGATCTGTTAGTAACGTCGTTACTTGCTTTTCAAGCTGAAGCTGCTGAGTTGGTGGGCTTGTAGCTAATGAGCCAGCACAGGATGCACTGCTTTCTAGAGCCCAAGGAAGCCTTTTGAACGCACGCACTTTTAGTGGTAATCTCAATGGATGTAGGTGGGATCTGCCTCTACATGTATTTTCGGTAGCCTGGTTTCCAAGCTTCCGTTTGCAAATATTCAGCGTAGCTAGTGTTGTGGCGTACTGCCTTATCGGCCTCTTTTGCTTTCACATCTGGGCAATGTAAGATAAGATATAGCTCAGTATCACCCAGTTGTACTTGTCTGGGGCCACTGCAATGGGGTACGTAGCGATGATTGGGACTGGACACTTCCTCATAACGAGCTTGTTGAGATCTACACTGCAGAAATTTCTCAAAGCCAATATTGAGGCTGACGCCGATTTTACCTGTAGTAGGCTTCATGTCTTGGCGCAGGAAACGGTATATAGTGAACTAACTGCTCCGTGAAGCCGACTGATCGTGTAAACGCTGGGACAACGATCAAAAGTCTGTCTAGAATTTTCCGTTTGCCCATTGTTATGCCATTTCTGGAAGCTGGATAGCTTAAGCCCTCATTTTCAATGGCAATTGGCAGTGAGTTGCCGTGTAGCATATCCGATCACAGCTATGGCCTGCGTTGGGCTATGGTAAATCGCGCCTCAGCTTCGGCACCCTGAACCGCGAAACTGTACTTGCCAGCATCGTTAATCTGCTGGCCTCTTGTTTTTGCTGCAGGTCCCAACCAGCAGGACTAGGCTTTCGGTCTTCTTCTGTCGTGGTAAACTGTTGCAGAAGCCATATTACTCTTCACTTCAACTTCTCGATCTGTTTCAAAAGCTGCTTTCCTCACTCCGACATACCCCCACTGCCCAGCCTGAAAGACGGAGGAGAGAGTAAACTGAGCAGTAAAATTTAACAGTGACTGCACTGATGATAGCATCCCTTCGAAGAGTACCCGAGTGTGCAGAATAAGGTCTCTCCTCAACAATCGCTCAGTCTAGTTCTGCTCTCACTCTACCGAGCACGATCCTGCAACCATTTAGCAATTTGCTCTACGCATTGTCAAAGCGCTCTTTCAGATGCGTGGTAAATAACTTTTGTGGCTGGGAAAGCTTGGGATGTGTATATTTTCCAGTAATTCTGCAGGGGAAGTTATGGTTTCATATGGATGTAAGCGAGTTATCACTACTCTATCCCCATTTCAAAAGTGCTCCTTACTATCACTAAAATATTACATTGATAGAAGTCAATAGTCTCTGGTCAGTAGAGAAATATTCCTGTACTCTGTCGAGGAAGTGTGCTACCACGCAGCTTGGGCTGCACTGTCAGCCCCAGCCATTCCTGGGGAGCCTCCTTGTTTCTGGGCATTAATCGAGCCATGAAACTCCTACAGCCTTTGATTGATCCTAATTTTCAAATTCATTTACATGCATGCTCCTTCGCAGTAGCTATAACCCCACTGTAGTGGGGTCCACCGCGTTGAGTGGGGTCCACTGCCACTTGCACCTGTCCACTGTGGAGATTCTTTGTTTCCCCGTATGGAGTCTGAGATGAGTAAACGGACTGGCTGGAAGTCCTTCATCTGACCTTTGACATCTAACCTCCAGCCTACACTGACTGATGCACCTCCCGACAGCAATGGCGGCAGCAGCACTTCGGAGGTGACGTATTTTTCTTTGACCGCACATGAGAGCGGCCGCTTGATTGATTGCCTTTATTGTGCGAGCCAGTTGATGGTCGTGTTCTTGGGGCCAGCCAACATCTAAGCGCAATCGGCAACGAGAAGACAGGGAATTTTGAGGACTTATGGTCTCGTAGCGACCTGCACCCAGCGGTCCCACACTCTGATGGTCTTATCCCAAGATGAAGGTGCGCCGGAGCCTTACATCGGTTCTTAGGGCGTCAGGGTCGCCAGGACATTGAGGTATGCCGCTGCATATGTCTGTTGCTTCAATGGACGAGGCATACTCTTCTCAGTGTGTGGCTGTGCTGCAGTTGTCGCCCTTGCGGCAGGGGCCTCCACAGGTATCATATCAGACATTATTCTTTTTCCGCTTGACTTTCTGAAGACACATGCACAGGTCAATGCTCCAGCGTCTCCGTCAGTAGCACCGCCAGCGACCCCACCGCCTGCAGGCGCAGCATTATCGGGTCCCTTGTTGTTTTCACGAGACTCTGCTGAAACAGTAAGAAGCATATCTAGAGATACTGTGGGGTCTGGTGCTCGTAGCGCCTTAACTGGACAAAATGCTGTTTCCAGTGCAGCCGCTCCAGCTGCTACATGGAAGACCCCATGTGGTGTGGAGTCAAAGGGAAGGCCGACAAGGATCGGTGCGTGCTACAGCGGCATCGCAGCCCTAGCCATGGGCAGTATGCCGTCATCCGCCGTCTTTTTTGTTGCATACGAGATGGCGAAGGAGAAGCTAAAGCGATTAAGTCCGTGCCAACAGCAATACTGCATTACAGCCCTCCGCAGGTGGCGTGTCGCTCTGCTGCCGCTCCCTCTGTTGCATATTTTTCTACTGCAGCGATTATGCTGACTTGCAATGCTTCCTGTCTTGAAGGTATCCTAGGGCGTGGTGCTGGGGAAGGTTGCTGCTGCTGTTGCCTCGCTGCAGACACAGACTCGTCACTAGCGTCGACTCACATCCTGGCTGCGTCTATAGCTGAAACAAGCGCCTGCGTCATTCGGTAAGGATGTAGAGCAGTGATTTAGGTGATGAGGACCAGTCCAATTGTGTTTGTTTGAAACGTAAGAGGGCTAAGGACATGTTAAGTACGTCAGTGTGCGCAGCCTGTTGGCTCGATCGTAGTACTTGATTAGAGGATGTCATAGCTCAGAAGGAATGAGCTTTCGATATGCTTCGGCGTATGCGTACTCTGCATTGAGATAATCATTTGCTCATTATGCACGGAGGCAACTATTGCTCTCGCGAGCTATTTGAATTGAGCAGGTTTGCGTGTGCAAATGTCTGCTATTTCCTGTCCAGCAACCCGTTCGAGGTAGTGAAGCAGCAGGTACAGCTAAGGCTACATGAGACCACTGCCGAGGGATTCTCAGCAGTATGGCGACTTGAAGGGCCTCGGGGCTTCTTTGTGGGGATGGGAACGTCCATGCTTAGAGATGTGCCTTTTGCGGCGCTGCAGCTTTCGCTGTGGGAGTGGATGAAGGTTAAGGCCCTGGGTGAGCTGCCGGCCTTTCTGTTTCTGTGTCGCTACTTTTTGGGAACGAAAATGTAGAGTTTGAAATCAGGGTCTAATGTTTGGAGGCCCGGTAGTGGTCATGTTCTTGACGCGGCGCAGCTGTCAAGCGTTTCGGGTTGTTGGTGTGTTCACTGCAGTGGTGAACGGTGTGTTGCACTCACAGGGCAGGACCCGCCCTCTACGGGTTTTACAGCAACGATATCTGGAGCTGCTGGAATGGTCGCGGGTACGCCGTGGCTGCGCTGACAGGCTGGGCTGTACATTGCCTCCGCAGGGCTCCAACAGCCGTACTGCAACGTCCTTTATCACATGCAGAAAACAGCTTGACGTCCATGGCGCAATTACCGCGTTTCCAAAGTGTAATTCGGGGCTTAGGCTCATGTGGAGAGAGTGGTGGTTTCCTGCAGGGGCTGTGGCGGCTGTAGTGACCACGCCAATGGATGTCGCGAAAACGCGGCTGATGACCCAAGCTCCAGGGACACGCCAAGTGCGTTAACAAATTGGAGGCGACCACGCGAGCGGTTGAATTTGTCCCTACTGAGATGTAACATTGCGTATCTCGTCATGCAACTACACTGTCGTTGCATCGCATACGGCTCCTGACTCTTGTCCATGCAGTTAAAATGCGGAGCCACCTGTGCGCGCAGTTGATTCTGTGGCTTTTGACTTGCGTATGGCTCCTCGTTTTGCAGTACCGTGGGTTCTGCCACTGCTTCAGTACAATGTTGCGTACTGAGGGCCTTGGATCCTTGTTTCTCGGCGTGAAAATGCGTTGCCTGTGGGTGGCGCTTGGAGGCGGTATCTTTCTGGGCGGCTACGACGCGTTTAGTGGTTGGTACCGCCAAGTGTTTGAGCAGCATCATCTCTTTGGAAGACGTTGCTGCACAGGCTGCGGCGAGAATATGAATGATGTTTCCGAAATCCTGCATTCGCGCTGACACAGCTTCAAGAACTGTTTCCGTCCCCTACAACAGGAGTGCCTGCATATTATGCAGGCCAGTGGATGGATCCACGGTAAATGTGGCCGAACAGGAAAGAACACTACAGCTTCAGAATGCACTTGTGGCATTCAAAGCAAAACCGTTGGACTTTGGAACACGTTTCGTAGGGAGTGCAGACGGTATCCAGGCGGCCTCCGTCTCAAGCGTGTCCAGGTTTTTTTGGTGAAGTGCTGCATTATATCTTATCATGTTTGCCCTGTGCGGCGGCGTAGCACTCATGACGTGAATTACACGGTAGCAGACCGCAGCAAATTATCTCTGTGGGTAGTGCCAGCTTAGAGAATGACGCATAAGTACGAGAGCGATAGCTACATGCAGCGCGCGAAGCGTAGTGTAATTTTGACACACCAGTTGGAAGCTTGTGAAAATACCACATTTTTATCAAAACAGATCGGTATAGGAAATACATTAATGGGCGGCTTCAGCTCACATCGAGTCAGTACAACCAGCCATGCCGCCAAGTAACTGAACAACTAGTGAGAAGAACGCTGCTGCAGTGGAACAGCTTCCTTCCATTGAGGCTACTCATGGCAGGGCAGCTTGTAGGCAACCATTTGAGACTGAAACGACACGAGTTGGCCTCGTCAAAAGGTATCCAGTAGTATGTCGTCATCCTGGTTGGTGTCTATCTGATTAGGGATGTCGGGGTAAATTGGAAGTAGCATTGCGGGGTGTGTTAGCGCCACGTTTTCTGCAATCAGCCGCGTTGTCGGGTCCGCCTGAGTCAACCCCAAGATCAGATCCTGTATTTCTGTGGGCATTTGCGAACGACAGTCGGTAAAGCTGAGGCCTCCGGCCGACGCTGTCGATATCTTGTCACACCAAAAGGTGTACAGCGTCATTCCCAGTTGCCAAGAATCCATTGACGGTTGCGCTGTGAGCGAATAATAAGCTGCAGAGTCCCGCAGTTCCGGAGGAACAAAGACGGGAGAGGAACCACCTGTGAACTGATATGACTGAACCAAATATGTCCCTTGTGGCACCGCTTGGAAAAGACCTCCAAGGAAGACAAGACCCTTCTCTGTGATGAGGAACGAACTGGGATTAATGTTGGTGTGCACCATCATGATGCAATTGAGGTTCGCAACGACTCTCACTGCTTGCTGAGACATGCTAAGCAATGCTTTGTATCCTTTCTTTCCCTTTGAACAACTGGCAATAACAGTGTCCGCAGTGGCCCGTATCAGGGGTCGGCGGGAGATTGCGTTAAGGAACACTTGGCCGTCGGGGGCTTGCACGTAGGTCCCCATACCTGTAAACTCATACAAGTCAATCGGTATGTCGAGACGCAGACTGTGGCGAAAGCTTGACAGTGCTTCGCCCGGTGGAGCCATCTTCGCAATTGCAAAGTCCCTGTCCAAAGAATCAACTGCTGAAAATTGGCCCTGAAGTTCGGAATACATTCGACCGATCCACCTTACGGGTATTTGATTCGACAGCTCCTGCGCAAGCAAGTCAACGAACCGTTCTCTGTTCTGAAGAACAGCTAGGAACGTTGCCTCTTTTGATTCATACCCATTAGAGAGCATTATGGGCTGGTCTACGCCTCTGGAACAGACGCCTCCCAAGATATCAGTTAGCCGAGAAACCTTATTCGATAGCCACCAGCTTGTTCTGCTTTTGCTCAGTAAGCTCGCAAGATACCTCTGTCCAGGCTCTTCCGAGTACTTAGAGAATTTCTTGTATCCCACAGCAACATCAGGTGTGGGAACACTATACCCCGTATAGTTACTGTATCCAGCGTAGTCATTGTATCCGGAGTAGTTGGAAGCTGCGGATGCTGTGGAGTATGGATAAGCAGGGTAGCCACCATACCCTCCATAGTTGGTGTAAGTGCCTGCTCCGTATGTATTGTATCCTGCGTAGTTTGCATACTTGGCGTACTTTTTAAGCCCGGTGTACACCTTTAGCCTCATGAGCTTCTGCACTATCTGCCCACCCAGGCGACGATTAGGTGAGTCATAGTCATCGTCTGTTGTTGACGAGGACAAGGCGGAGAACGTCCGCGGGTCTACTTGTTCTTCGCTCAGTTCATCTTGTCGCGTAGTTGGGAGAATATCCTCATAGAAGTAGATTCCAGTTGGTGGAGTTGCTTGATTGAGCTCGCGCTGCTCGGCAGTGATGCCGGATTTAAGAGATCCCAATGAAACATTTGTATCGGCTCCTCTTAGGTAAGCCGCTGCGATCGGCTCTGCCTTGAGGCCTCCGTCGAATGCTTGCTCTGCGTCGATATTTGAGTTTATCATCAAGATGTTTCCTTCTTTCTCTGAAATGTCGATACGCTCGTGCAAGTTGGATGAGGGCTTTTCGTTAGAAGGTTCAGTCCCGAAGGCAGCCAAAAGACCACCGAAGCCAGCCGCAAGCTGCAGCACCACTGAGAATGTTAACAGTTTCTTCCTCCAAGTCAATCCTCGTGCAGCAGAAGCCATTTGCGTTTTGCTCTTTTTTTGGACACTTGGAGCCTTGATAGTGGAAGGTCTTTTGTTAGCTCGGCCTGAAAGAAGAGAGTCAGTCACCAAGCAGGACCTGACAAAGAAAGGGTCTTGAGGAGACACCACACTAGCAGTGGAAGCTGGTGACCGCAAAATCAATTAACGTAGAGGAGCTAAAATAAACTCAGATGCAAAAAATAAGCGTAGATCGTTTTTCAAAGTTTAATTGCAAAATAACAAATCTGATGAAGTTAGCTGACTCCTGTCAGCCTGAGGCCTCTGGTGAGCTAGGCTCGCAGATCTTGTCCAAGCGGGAAGTGTCATGTGATCGACCCGCACAGCAGCACAGCAAGGTCCCTACAGGGATTGCCTCCCCTCTTTACTGATTTCCCCAAAGTAATAAACATATTTAATATGAGAATAAAACGTTGGATAAATATTTTTCAGGCAACCTTCAAGTTTCACGCACTTTTTCCTGTGACGACTGCTACCTTGCTTTGGGGTCCCCTCTTGGCCTTCAAAAGTGAAGCCATGAATATCTAGCTATTGAAACCCACACGTACAGCTATCTAAAGCACAAAAATATGCTTTTCATACAATGATTGTTAGTTTAAAAGAAAGAGCTCACGTTGACTATCGGACTAGACTAGCAGGCGTATGCTTCATGTATGCTCTCCTTCCCAGCTGCGGTGTCGTCGGTGATGCAGATGAAGTCAATCGTGCTCACCATTTTGAGATCTCCTGTCCAACGGACATAATATTGAAAGTCATGATGCATTTTTACTTGAGGTCCTTTACAGCTCGCTAAAGAATCCACAAACCTGCTCTGTCGATTATTGCCGAACCCCTCGTTACTGTATGTGGTCCTTCCTCCCCGCCTCTGTCGCTTCTAAACAGAACAAAACTCATCCTACATTTAAATTGGGTTTATTTGCATCGAAATGTCATATCAGAGCGCAGACTGCAACTCCCTTGCTCTGCTTCTCACCCCGTTGCGTTTTCGATGCTAGCCTCCGTGAGCGACCCTCATAAATTTCCCACCCCTTTTCAATCTTTCAGAGTGCAAAGCGGCGAAAGCCGGTAGGTGCTATGTATTGCCCGTATATTTAAATCCCCTGCATGCTCCCCCTCAAAAACAGCAACTTCATTCTGCGTATGCACAAAGGTGCCCGTGAACTGCGTGACCTGAAGATCACGTCACTGTAGTCTTCACTCGATAGTCTCCTGTTATCTACAAATCCGCTAGTCTACTCCTGATCCCTGTCTTTTGCAAGTGATGAGAAAGCTACACCAACAAGCAGTTACAGCAGGGCACGTCACCCTAAGCAGTGTCAAGCAACGGGCCAAACACTGCGTTCAATTCGGGCCTTTGCCATTCTGTTCATAATATGGTAATCTGGAGCCCATCGCCCGAGGGCGACTTGAAAGGTTGTCTTCCTGGGCTATGTCTAGGTGTTTCAAGCTTATCAGAGTCCGTCAGCCGTTGCCCCGATGGCGTCGATGCCTCATCCTCCCACAAGCTGCGCTGCCTTGGAGACTCGCCTACCGCCACGTCGCATCCCGTGACTGTGAACGATTGGCTTCTACTGCCAACAAACGGCGTCGCAAAAGAGTCTGGGCATTCTATAAGCGGCGGCGGGCTTCCCTTCTGTTCCTCCACAACGGGCGCTACAGTGGCTCTGCAATTTTGACTGCGATCTGCAGGGTCCCCAGACACAATTCCCGGTGGAGACGGCCCAGCTGCTGCTGCAAAGAACTCTCCTAGCTTCGACACTGCTGACTGTCTGGGTCGCTCCGCAGTTGGAGCTTCGCTTGGCTCCGGTGGAGTCACCGGACTGCAAGCGTTGCTGTCGGAAGCAAAGAGGGAAGTAACGTTCGACGCTAGACCTGTTGAGAGCCCAGAACTAGTTAAATACTGCGAAACCACGCTTGCACCCCTGTAAGCGTGCTCAACACCAACGCCAGCTAGCCTTTTGAGGCGTCCCAGCGCAGCGTCGGGCCCCTCAGCAAAATCTCTGGACGAATCCCCTTCACTCTTTTGTGTCTCTGGCCTGGAGGGACTGCTGATCTCGCCCTCTCCCAAACTAGCAGGTCGAGCTGCGTCTCCAGGCACCAAGCCAAGGCCGTCACTAAGACTCAGAGCTGCAATGGCCCGTGAGAACTGTTTGAATATCAAAGAATCCGATATATGCTGCACAGGGTCCAACTCGTGCGGAGTGTCCCCAGCACGCCACCCACCCCGACCAACAGGGAGGGAGACGCGGCACTCTTGGAGTCCACTTTTAAGGAGATCGTCAGCCCTGAACAGCAAGGGTCACATTCAATTTAACGCAGCAGTTCGGTGACAATTGTGTAGTCTTGACTTAATAACCCTCAAGAAAAAGAGCACTGTGGCTGAGACACTGTTACAGGGTGTGCATCGTTCACCGCAGTCTCATCGCAGAGCTTATGAGAGCCTTCGGGTCAAAAGATGGCAGATGCTGGAGCAGCTTCATGCACGCAGTGAAGTCCCCAGCCAAGAGGGCAGGCCTCAGCTGCAAGCATAACACCAAGAACAGGCTCCATGCTGCTCAACAACACCCTGGGCGTATTCTCGGATGCTCCACAAGCGACATCCAGTGTGCAAAAAGCTGGGAACTACCGCCGTATGCCACTTCTGTTGCACTTACCCATATTATTATAGCGACACAAACATAATAAAGTAGGGGTAACGGACGTCCAGTGTCCGCAATAAAACCGTCCCAAAGAGCCAGAACGTCCGGCATCTCGAACTCCTGCAACATCAAAGGAACAGCTTCTCAAGAAGCGGTCGGTGAATTCCTGCAATATCTAACGATATCCCTACCATTCCATGCAGAAATCGATCACCGATATGTTTTGCGCTCGCCAAGCGGGATGCTCATGGGTGACTCAGGCAGAGTAGAACTAGCAAGTTGATAACAAACCTAAGCCTTGGGCCGAAAACCTCAAAGCCGCGGCAACAGTAGAGCTAACCCTCGTTACCTGAGTTAGCATCAGCAGGAGCCACCGCAAGGCGTAGAATTGCGGCTCTACGCCAACTGCGTTGAGATGCATCCAGACTTCCTCATCCTGCAGGCAAGAACTAAAGAAAAGTCCTGCTTAGTGGAATGCCTACTCCAAACTGTCGAGCAAACGCCACTAACCAAAGCCTTGCATCAAAAGAGAAAGACACAACACAAAAACCGTAGTCCGTCAGCATACGCAACATTTTCAAATAGGCCAGTGTACCTTTTGCCTAAGGAGAGTGTCCAGACGTGAAAGACGGCCCTGCACACCGGCCTCCGTAGGGTCGAGAGCCTTACAGAAGGCATCACGTTGCTGCTGCATAACTTCGCTGAAACAGTAAAAGACTTCTGCCTCTGCCTGTATGCAGTATAAACACTTGCATAGGCCTTAAATCCTTAATAAGCATGACCCACGAGCTGGCTACGCAAAAACCCATCCACAAGACATAGAAACTCATCCACAAAACATCATTCTTCATAGCCAACCTCACTTGTCCATCTTTCATTTGCTATCTGCAATTACTTGTAGTGCAAAACGCAAACCCGCGCTGTGAGGAGGTAACCGAGTGCGCAATATGCCTTCATTAGCGTACCTGTTCGTAGTCTGTGTACGTTGGGTCTGTCATGAGTGCATAGTAGATGGGGGCTAGGATTTCATTCATGCCCTGAACATAGCAAAGGCCTGGATTGACCTTTGCGTAGATAAAAAGCAGGCGCGACAACACGTCGTAGTGACGGCGAGGAGCTACCATATTGCAGACGTCTTGCACTCCAGCGGGTGCACGCCACGGCTGCTGTGCTGCATTTTTTCCTTCTTCAGCAGCCAAATCCGTTGCTGCGGCCCCACGCTCTAACGTCGACAACAAAACGCCAGCGGCACAACCGTCCTCCATAGAAACAGGAACTGTGCCGACCTTCTGGTGCTCCTTCACTACGGCCACTGTTGCACCCGAACTTGCATCACCCCTAGCGGGACAATTGCCTTGCGCGTGCCCCTCCTTAGCTTCCTTTAAGGGGGGCAAAGATGGAGAAACACTCGCTACTTGCCTCTGTGACAAAGCTGAGTTCGACAATAGAGAGTTATTGGGACAAAAGCTTCGGTCAAGATTTGAACTGCACGCACTTTTCTCTGTTCCCCTCTTTGTGGTGCTCATTTGCCTCTTAAGTATACGAGCAGCTCTGGCCGCAACTGCTGAGGCTTCCAGAGCGTCAGCTGCATCCAAAGACTCTCGGCTGTGGACTGAGACACTGCAGCTCTGCACATCAGCAGAGCCGCGAGACAAAAGCGCCTCTATAGGGCTTGAAGCTCCCACCTCCTTATCCACTCTTTCAGTAATGTGTTGCAGCTCACCCGATCCTGGTGTCGCTCCTCCTCCTGATGACGATCTGCTACTGCAACTGCGCCCACCAGCGCTGTTGCGAATAGACTCCCCTTTAATTTCACTACGACTGTTGCACCCATCATCACTCAATATGCTTATTGTTGCTGCTCCTGCGGCGACTGCCTTTTTGTAACGAAAGGCGTATGGCAGTCGGAAGCCTCTCGAGGAGGACGATGAAACCTTCAAGGGATTGTCTGGCTCATTGCTACTGCTGCTGTTGCTATTGCTGCATGTGCCACTGGCGCTACTGATGCTGCTGAATTTGCGGGTGCTCGCTTTGATTTTGCAGGGCATGGCTACGTCAACGGGGGCCCCGCTGTCTTTCTGTTGCTGATCATGTTGCCGTCGCTGCTGCTGCACCAGAAGGTCGTAGTCAACGAGAAGAGGTACATCATCTATTCGTTGCATGTGGGACTGTGCCTGTCTGGTAGGCGGTGGGGGATAAAGATGTAGCTGTTGCTGCCTAGTCACTGTTTGCTCTGGATTCATGGCAAAGAAGCAAAGCTCAGGACGTGTCCTGAAGACATCTTTGTTTATTTGGTCAAACACTTCAGCATCAACCCAGTAACCCCGCCATTCGCTTGTCGCGCTACGACACAGAGGCTGAAAAAAGCACAGTACAGCGACCGCCAGAAACAGGTTTTAAGCCTAAGCTACTGTTGCTGTCCAAAGCCACACCAATACTGCACCCTAGCCCATAGTTCTCGCACAACCTCTCCAGCTTCACTTCCCTGTGACGAGGCTCCTCGGTGTGACGGATATATCAAAAGACTTCGTCTACTCCGTGAATACTGCCACTGCATTAAAAGCCTTACGTGATCTTTGACAACCGCGAGTGAGATCGACGGGGACAGCTGAGAGCAGCCACTGTGGGGGGTGCCAAAGTTGAAGTCTTCCCTGTTTGATGCCAAGCTGCTCTCTGCTGAAGGTGAAGTCGTCAGGAGCGTGCATCTATCTCCGAGGGTGCATGAAGCACCTTCCCCCTGCTGGTGCTGCTGCAATTGTCGTAAGCGGCGCACTGCCTCGGGTTCTCGAATGAATTCTGCTTTGTATGATTCATAGGCCTCGCTGTAGTTGTCATAATTTCCACACACAGAGAACACAAATCATATGTCCACGTACGTACATATGTCCGTGAAACCAAGAATACTAGAATGCAAAATCCCCTTTTCTGCATCAAAGACTGCAAGCGCCCTGGGGAAATTAAAGCTGCGGATGAGTCCCTGAAAACGCAGCAGTTTCCATCTCTTCAGCCTATACTATGGATAAACCATATGCTGTACCGGAGTCTACGGCGACGTTCCTGCCATTCCGAGAGCTGGAGGGGAAGACAATGTAGAAGAATACGCCAGTAGACAGACCGCAGGGCCGCACAACCGTCCGGAAGCCCCTTTGCGCAGACAACGCGCATCAAGTGAGGATCAAGTCGCTCCGGATCCAGAGCATCCAGGCATGTCTCCAATCTGCAATGCAGCCACAAAAGCAGGCACAGAAGCATCATTACTACAGCACCTTGCAACACGAAGTCGAGTCTTCGCGGGAATTCAAGGATGGCAAGAAACCGGCATCCCATCAACGGCGATAGGGAGTGCCAAAGCTGACGGAGTCAGATAGCAACAGAGGCTCTAGCGTTGGCTCCTGATAAGTTGTTCATTTGCTTATCTATTCAACGTAACTCAGCCCGGAGAACAAGCAAAAACATCGGCTAACAGGAACTGTACCGGCTGCGAGTTTTGGTGTTCAACTCTCGGTCTATTAGCAGCTCGACGTGGCGACGAAGTGCCTTCATCGAATCGGCACCAGATGGGATGCCGTAGCTGAGAAGCTTCCCACTGTCGACACTTTCACTGCTGCTACCGCTGATCCTTCCGCTGTTCATCTTTAGAGAGCACGTTGTCGCCGAATCATTCGCCCTTGACTCCGCCACTACTGCAGGCGCCGCCGGTGCAGTGCTACGCTGATGACTGGCTTTCTCTGCGGAAGCCAACTTATTTTCGACAGCCTCCGAATGACATGAAGGATCTGAAGCTCCGTGCTGCAACAGATTTGCCACATGGCCCACATGACCCCTCCCTGTTGTTTCTACGGCGCTTGCCGGTAATGTCTTTCTTGTTTTGGCTCCCATGAAATCCGCAACGCCAGTAGCCCTACGTGATGCAGCAGTCGCGGTCAAGTCACCTCGGGCCCTCCCATTTGGTGTATCATAGATGGGCGATGGGGTGGGGGGGTCCTCTTGGTTTTCGCCGGACATGATGTGGCGCAAAAGTGAGCCCTTCTTCTGCACTTCTCGAGTACTGTACTTGTGTAGCCCTACAAGTATCTGAGCCCGCGAAACGCTCCGCTACAGCTGCTGCAGCAGGACAGTGCCAGCCGAAGCAACGGCCTTTCGTTACCTTCCTCTGAAATGCGCCCTCGTTGAAGACTGCTGCGGCCCGGCAGGTACTTTTGCAGCTCCTACACTGGACACTACGGCCGCTGCTGCTGCGGATACTGCAGCAGCGGCCTCCTGCTGTCTCCAAACAGACGTGGCCTAGCTTATGGGAAAAGACAAGATGGAGTCAAAAACTAACGCTCCAGCAGCAGCTCCCCGCCTCTACGTGGAGCGAAGCTGCCATGGAGGGAAGACTAAGTAGTAAATATGGTGAGACTTCCCTACAATTCGCTGTAGGTTGTAAAGATATTGGACGAAACAATCAACTGTGTCGCTTGCTGCCCCGGTCCTTGTGGCGGGCAGCCCCCAGTCGCCCCACCCGTGACTGCAACATCCATCCTGTGCTATGCTTAGTTCAATTTTAAGCTAGCGCTCATCGCGTAAAAGAATTCGCCTCCACTGCTGTAGATTTTCCCCGCGGCAACGTAGGACCTTCAACGCAGTGGCATTGGCAGCCGAGCCGGACTGCCCTGCTTCTTCTTCGTGGAGTGCCTGGTTGGGAGCGGAAAAGCTTGCTTAGCTCGCCCGATTCCATTTTACTCCACAAAATGCCAAAGAGTAGCGCATTGTTTGGGGTCTCTGTAGTTTAGACGGTGAGCAGATTAAGCGACTCAGCAATTGCTCCAGTAATTTAGGACCGAAGGACCAACAGGTGGTACACTGCTACAGCGCCCAGAAGAACGCTGTTGCAACGTAGGAAAACTCAATTGCATATGAATAAGCAGCAGTAGATGAGATGTTCCAGGCCAAAATTTGTGTTCATGCGAAGGGTTGGTTTGGCAGAACATGAGGTTTGTGTGCGTTGGGCAGCATGATGGCGTTGGCTTTAACACCTGCTGCAAATTAAAGCAAGTTACTTACACTAGTTTATTTCCAAGCAAATGCACGTTTGAATAAAATCACTTCACTTCTTTCTGCAACCCACGGACTGCCATTTAGTGGGACTGGCTTCAGCGCTGCAGATCTGGCGCAGCTTACGGAGTTCCCTGTGGGCGAAAGAACAGCCCATATAATTGCCACTTTGACTTTTTCAAGTACTACTGGTCACCATGCAGGGTGGAGTACTCGTGCTGCCAGCTGGCCGATTGCGCACAGTCCGTAGAACCAGTGGACACCTAGGCGCGACCAACGAATATGCTTTGACTGCTGGTATGCTTTGTTTCATGTTTTCGAGATACCTTGTACTGGTGCAGCTGTAGCTTTGCATCTATTGAAGACCTGCAGTCATCAGAGCAACACTGCGCCTAAAGTTGGTCCTGGTATAAAACCAAAGGACGAATAATGCGTCCCAAGTTGATCCTGATAGGTCACTATCGCGGGCATCAGAACCAGAAGCCCAGGAGTGACTGAAGCACGTTCTTCACTCAGTATAGAGTCTTGTACCACTGTGGACTGCCATGTCAGATCCGACGTTATGATGACATAAACAAGACTGACGGCTCATATCGGCGGTGATAGCAGTGTCTGTCCTGCATTCAAGGGTAGGATCTGCTGCATTTTCATAAAATTTGGTGGGCTCTGGACTCTGTCCGTCAGCCTTCAAGATTACTAATCTCACTTTTGCGACTTGTTCCCCCAACAAGCCAACAAGCCTCTGTATTGCGGTATGCATTGTGGTATACATGTAAAGGTGGACAAAGGGAAGCACTCAGTTTGTCAGTATTATGTTATCATCTACTGTCGTGGACTGTGTGAAACCATTTCCTCTGCTCGGACAGGAATGGCACGAGTTATCATAAACGGCTCCAGGGTTGGCTTCACTAGTAGAGGCGAGAACTGGAGTTCGGCAGCACTGGGATAAGATTTACCAACTCTGTAGAGGGAAAAGGTGCCGTTCATGTGGTCACGAAAGTGTACAAAAGTCACACGTACCGTCTGTGCGCTCAACCCAGACACCGCGAAAAACCTCACCTTCAGTAGAATGAAAAGAAGCTCTTGTGTCGCCAGTTCAATGAGGAAATGACAAGCTCCTCTGGAGAGAGAGATGCGAAGATCAGGTCTCGCATGCGCAGCTACAGGCAAAGAAAATTCATAAAGAGAAAAACAAATACGAGCACTATTTGCTCCGTCGGTGTCTAGAAGCGGACAATGGCAATGCATGGCCTTATATCGACTGGTGCTCCGTGACTGCAGCAAGTGGCATTTCGATACCCTTCCACCTCCTTTCTCGCTCTGTACGTTATGCATGAACGCTACACTTTTATTTGCAACGTTTCAAAACGTGGAAGACCACACGGAAGGGGAAGGGCCCTTTAGAGGAAGTCGGGGGAACACCACTGTGCAACGCGCCACCTTGCCCCTCAGTAATGCCACAGGGTGCACAATGGCAGGAGGCTTCTTAACGTAGTCCTCAAGTCTGCGTAGGAATCTAGGATTTCTAGCAGGAGAGCGGTTCCTTGGACGTGCAGCCGTGGGGACCTCATTACGGGCTGCCTGCACTGGGACGCACAACCACGGTGTCCTGTTCAGAAGTGGTGCTCGTAGGTGGTTGTGTCTCATTTGCTTTTCTCGCTATTTCTTATGAACGGGAAATATGCAGGCTTTTCAACTAGAAATATTGCGCCCCATGTATGGAAAGCACCACATGACTGCTGAATTTTTCGTTTGGCCGGAATACCTAATCCGCTGGTGCGACTATACCAAGGACAAGACCTGATATGCTCTGTAGCTCTGGTTACTTCTCAGCCTTCCATTTCAGAACAGTACTTACATAGACAGAAACTGCAGCGGTGATCCTTCATACAACAGCATAAACGGGAGAGTAATTCCCCTGTTGTACCCGACCCAGGGGACTATGATACGAACATGAAAGTGTGCTTTAATAAAGTCACAACGTAGCTTTACAAGAACATCAGAGTTCGAGCAGGTCTCCACAGTTCCCTGCAAAAAATGTAGGGATTCTAATATTGGCATACAAAACATTTATGCTCTATAGATTTCTTGATCTGTTTCCAAACTGCACCCAGTTTTGGCCAAAATAAATGGCGTACATATACGTAATGCGACTGAGAGATGGTACGAAAAAAGCTGCACCCTGCTTTCCCCAGAGCAGCAGATGCTTCTTGGACCCGCTTTGCACAAACAGTGACATGCTTGCGGTCACTGTTGAGCAGTACCGCTGACACCTCGGCTTGCTGTAGACGTGAAGCTCAAAATGAAAAATGGCGGAAAGTCTAAGTTTAAGGGAAACGATGAGGTGGAAAAGACGATCAGCTAACAGAGTCACCATCTCACCCGCTCGAGTCACCGCTTGCATGGTTCGCTTACATGGTCTGCTACAACGCTCTTCCTGCATATGTTACATGTTCAAGAGTGAAGGAATCCTGAAATACAGTATGTTTGCTAAAACTGTTCTCCCTTCCAACTTCGGCAGCTATCTATCGCCCCGTGAAGCCCTGTGGACCAACTCCAATGCGTGGTTAAAAAAGGGGCCGCACTCAATGCTCTCGGCCTCTAGCGTGAATGAGCGCTGCCCTAAACGTCAAGTTACAGAGTAGAAGCACGAAGTAAACGTTGCGTACGCACAGTTGTTGCCGTTCTGTGGATCTTGCTTGTGCCCAATTTGGGGCTGGATGAGACTGTGTGCATAACGCAGGATGCTTATACGTGAAATGACGAGTTCCATCCTTTTGAATGATCTCACATAGCAAAAAATACCTGTAATCGCTGTGCCGTGTGCGGCAGAGTGCGGTTTCGGGCCAAGGTTGAGTTTGTGTTCATAGAGAGTCGGCTTTGACCTTTTACACGCTCCAACAACGCTCAGTGCTCACGGCTGCATCACATCTAAGCACAGAGCCTCATCAAATGTCACTCTTAAAATCAAACACGGAAATAAATGATCCTGCTGTTTTACTTTGACATATGAAACCTTATTTAACGTGTTCGTGAGTGCAGTTGCATGCCTAAGGTGCTATGCTCCGTAGTGGCACATCTTGTTTCCAGTCCTGAAGGAAGCGTCCTGTTCACCCATTCAAGACGAACTGTTCCAGATAACCGCAAAGTTAAGCATTCATGGAAACAGATATCCAAACCACACCGTTGCTTCCCCTATACCGCTTCCGTAAATCCCAGGAATGAGGGGACCGCCCATCAAACCGACCAGACCGTTGATTGTTGGCTTCCAGCTTTTGCAGTACCTCCTCTCGTGAGCTGCTTCTCCAACGAACCTGTCTGAATCCGCAAAGGTGACTTCTTCACTTCATGCTTGCTTACCGTTTAGGGACTTCGATCCAGGCAGGGGGACGGAAGCTGTGACTGGTCGTCTTCTAGCTTCTTCGGGCTCCTGCGGGTATACTGATGAAGTGGAAGGACGGAGTTTGCTCCACTTCCAAGTCTGTTTTGGAGTCTGCTGCACTTGCTCTGTAATGCATACAACATCTGCTTTCAGCGAGTTGGTTTCCAGCGATGCTGGCGGTCAGGGTGCCGCATCAGCGTCAGCAGTAGATAGATCTGTAAGGTGCAGGTAACTCAACTGAGTGGAGGACAACAGCAGGGATACCGTGAAGGCCTCCACATTTGAGGTCCAACGCTGCTGGCGAGATGGAAAATTGGAACAGGAAGTGGCGGGTATGTACGGACCCCGGTAGACCATGCTCCTCAGTAGATGTAGAATGACACTACAGTAGGCGACAGTGAGCTCGAAAGTCATTTAGGGCTTTTACGGTTCTTTCCATAGCCCTGTCGGTGCAGCCAGCCGGTACTGTGAATTGTAGCGCCCAGGGGTACTGTCTATAGCGTCACTTGGGAGTTGTATATCGCCGGTATTGGTACAGCAACAGAAATCGCCTTGGTTTATGAATGTGATTCAGACGCTGTGGTGTTGGTCTAACGTTTATTTGGGATGGAAGGTTGCACAGGCACGCAGCCGCGCGCTTCCTCAGGACAAGCAGGCGGCTTACTGGGAGCAGCGTCATGAACACTTTGCAAACCTCGTGTGGGACAACATAAAAGAGCTGAAGGGTACGAGGAAAATCAATGCATGTGTGCTTTGTTCCGCTACCACGATACAGCCTGTCGGCAACCACTACATGTGGCGAGCATCGTCTTAAAACGCAGCGGATTGCACATCTAGCCGTTTATCATTTCAGTTTTATAACAGTTGTCTTTCGTTGCGTAGTATTACTTCTCATGCGTTCGCGTGTTCTGTGACTGTGTGGGTTGTTCACGTAGGCTGGTGGGTAAAAGTTGGACAGTTCCTCAGCACAAGGAGCGACCTGCTGCCTCAGCAGTACATTCACCACCTCATCAAGCTACAAGATATGATGCCGACGACGCCATTTGAAGTTATCGAGAAGACCCTACGCACAGAGCTGGGTGAGACGGGATGTACTTTGCTGAAGGCATGACTGTCGTTGGAAAGCTAAAAATTAGCGAACTTGAATCAGTAGAAACTACGACCCCTTGGGTATTTGCGTTTCGGCATGAATGTGCCCCCTAGATTTCGAGTTTTTACATTCTGGCAAGTGGGTCTGATATTTCTTCAGGTGATTTGAATTTAATTTTCTCGAAAATCGATGAGCAACCGCTTGCTTCTGCTAGTATTGGGCAAGTTCACCGAGCTTGGCTACTTGATGGAACTGCAGTAGTGGTGAAGGTCCAGCACGCCGATGTTGAATCACTTCTAATGCATGACATGGCGAACCTTAAACAGTTGTCATGGGGTGAGCTCGGATGTTTCTGCAAAATGCTGTGGCCATCAGGAGGAGTGAACGTAGCGTTTTCATTTTTCGTCTTTCTTTTGTGTATCGCGGTTGCGTTACATGAAATTCTAAACATTTTGTGTTGGCAGTGGGCTACAGCCACTGTCGGCTACGGCCACTGTCGTTTTGCTTGGACACCCCTAACTTGTGTACTTCTGCTTGGTTGCAGCCTTCGGTATGCTCGAGCAAGGAATGAACTTGACACCTATTCTCGAAGAGTGGCAGAAGGCTGCCAGCAAAGAACTTGACTTCAGGTTTGAATACGCTCATCAGCAAAGGGCATTCGAGTCGGCCGAGGTGAGCGGTTCTAAGCACAAACGGACACCATATTCTCCTACTTCCCACACAGAAACTTGTAGTAATCGGGTATTATTTTTGTACAGTTTGCAGCACACGCACACGCAGTGCGGGTACTGAGACAGTTGATATGTATACGAGAGGTGTTGTTCCTGGCGGTTGTGGTTAGCTTAGCTCGCCGTCTTCTTTACATGTGTCGAAACTGTACGAGCATGTGTCCCCCTCAGCGCTCCGGCATAGGGGTAATCATCCCCAAGTGCTATTCGAACTTGGTGACAAAGTCGGTCATGGTAATGGAATACATTGAAGGCTTCAAGGTGACCGACACAGCGAAACTTGATGTAAGCTGGACTGCTTTACTTGGTGTCACAGCCGTAGCAGCGTCTCAGTACTCCAGGGACATTTTTCGAGTATACACATCTCTCAGCTTTTAAGTTGGCAGGCAATCCTGCGCAAATATGTGGCTACCAACGCATATGCTGATAACGGCAATTCGCTTCGTAGTGGCTTCTAGGTGTCCATATTAATGTGATGCGTTCGCTGCCACACATTCCAGCTGTACGGCGTTGACCGACGAGAGCTAATGTACAAGCTGTGTGACAGCTTCGCCTACCAAATTCACATCGACGGGCTATTTAACGGAGATCCCCACCCGGGAAACATATTGGTGTCTATTAATCCTGTGACGAAAGAGGCAAAGCCAGTTATTCTGGACTGGGGGCTTGTAAAAGAATTTGACTCAAAGGGGCAGACTGCCTTTTCTAAACTAGTGAGCTCTGCGCACCAAGGTTTCCGTCGGCAAACTGAAAAGTGCTGGTGACCAGCTTCATTTGTTTTTATATCTACTGGTCCTGTCAGGTTTATTCTGTCGCGTCAATGGATGTGATGGGCTTGATGGAGGCTTTCGAGCACATGGGTTTCCAGTTTAAAGAAAAAAAAGGTGCTGTGGTAGATCCGGAGATTTACATGGAAGCGCTGAGGGTGGCATTTAGGGTCAGTTGCTTTCTGCTAGTCTGTCAATTCGCCGTGCCGTAGCAGGAGCTAGTTCGCCTCCCTTCACCATGGCACTGCTTGGTGCCTACGACAACTCTCTAGGCTGCAGCAAGGGCAGCAGTCACTCCACTGCTCAATATGCGCATGTGATATAATTTGCAGCAAGGGGAAGTTGAAAAGAAGGAGACTGAGGAGCTGCACAAGGCAGCGGGCGAAACAGTGCAGGCAGCCGTTAAGGCGGGCATCAATCGGAAAAAGATTCAGGAAGGTAAAAGCTGCACCTAATCCAGTTCCATGCCTCGCAGGGCTTTTGACATTTGTTTTTCGCTCCAGGCTAGAAGCTCTCTCGTTGTTCGTTTAGGAGTCGTAGGGATGCGCCTGACAGGCAGAGCTGCTAAATCGTGCGTACACACTGCGTAGATGCTATTTTGTTGACGGACGGCTGTTGTATGTGCTCTTCGTTTGCCAATCTCAGCAAATCCGCTTGAAGACTGGCCAAAGGACATCATTTTTTTTGTGCGCGTCGCGTCCCTCCTCCATGGTCTTTGTGTTCAGCTGAAAGTGCACATTCCATTCCTAGAGATAATGGTCCGTCGAGCACAGGAGTGCCTCTTTAATCGGTACCAACCGCCGAGTCCTCTCATATACAATTATTTTCTGGGAGGCAGGGGAGCTGCCAAGTGGTACGGCACGTCATCCTGTATCTTATAAATATAGCTTCATAGCTTGTACACATGTATAGGGGTGGTTCTCTATATTGCTGAGTCAAGATATCATGCATACTCGGGTGTTGCAAGCTCAGTGGTGTTTCTTGTGGTGGGGATTATGCTGTTTGCGAGGCGTTTGTGTGGTGGATGTGTAGTTCGTTGCAGCAGCGGCTGAATCGGCTACTGCGACGCCTTGTGGAGCAGAAGCTGGTTCTTGGATGTCAAGTTGCAGTTTGTTTTCAAGGAGAGATGATTATTGATGCAGCCATTGGCCAGATGGGACCTGTGGATACGCGTCCGGTCACTCGTGACTCGTTATTTTGCGGCTACTGCACTACCAAAGGTGAATATTTACTTATTTGTCTCATTGTCGACGTAACAGAGTAAATCAGGATTATCAGGGCTGTGCCTACCTCATAGGCATCGTGGCGCAAGTCTACTGTGTCACTTTACGTAGCCTATGTAAGTGCGCTGCCTTCGACTTATGAACTGTACGCAGCTTAGGTACGTACCTTTGCATTCCTGTCGTGATGTGAACTGCAGGGATTTTGAGCACTGCCTTGCTACAGCTCGTGAGTAGTGGCGAGTTGGAGCTTGATGATGCCGTTTCAAGTTGGTGGGATGGGTTCATTCGGTATGGCAAGCGAGGCATTACGGTGCAGCAGCTTCTGACGCATCAAGCGGGCCTTCACCGAGCTTTGCCTGCTGATCTTACACTATCTCGGCTTGCAGATTACAGCGAAATGGTACGCATAGTAGAGGACGCTTCACCAGTTTGCACCCCTGGTTCCTGTGGAAGATACGCTTACCTCACATACGGGTGGGCTGTCAGCGAGTTGGTGAGATGCGTATCGGGAGTTTCTATAGATGTTTTCATACGAGAACGGCTCCTGGAACCTCTTGGCCTCGAAGATGAGATCTTCATGAGGCTGCCTCAGGAGGTAGAACAAACTTCCTCTGCTGACCAGCCATCACAACTTTCTGCATGTGTGTTGCTGGAAAGCAAGAAAGCGACGTCATCTGCGTTGCTGGAAAACAAAGCGACACCATTGTTAAATTCGAGCACGCCTTGTAGCCCAAGTTTGCGCCAGGCAGCCAGTGACAACTCGAGGACTGTGCCCAGCACTCAGTGTGCATTGAATGTGACTTCTAGTTTGGAGTTGCATCCGTCTTCTCATTCCGGTGAAGAGAAACCTCCCTTGGCGGAAAGGATGGCTACAGTGTACTCAAGTAGCGGTTCAGCAGGAACGAACTCCGGGCTACCAAGAACTTTTCAGTCTGCGAATTCCCCGTTGGCGTATCCAAGCAGCTTGAGTGGAGGACCCCAGCAGTTCTCTCCCACTGAACTGAGCCCTTCATTCTTGCTTCCTGGTTCGCAGACTCCGCGCATAGACACTCCTGAAGCTGGCAGTAGCAATAGGGAAGTCCAAGACCACGAGGATTCACGTAGCCGTCATAACAGCAACAATTCACTCCGGAGTTTACGGAGCCCGTTGTCAGACTCAGACAGGGCACGTCAAAGGACGGAAAACAACAGTGACTTCTCAGTTTTCAGCCGTCCACTGGAAAGTAGAGTGATAGGTGAGACGGACTCTTCTCGTCGAATGCTTCAGGTAGATGATGCAGCTTCTGACAGGAGTAAGTGCAGCAGCACTACATTCACGCACGGCACTCAAAACTCCGAGAAGGTTCATCAGCTCTCTGCGTTCCCAAAGGAGGTTGAGATTGTGACAGCAGACACTCCATTCTTTTGGAGGCTGACATCCGCTCGCAGGAAGATTTCTTTCAGTCCCATGACGCAAGAAGAAGTGCTGCAGCGACTAAAGCAAACAAAGGGAAGGCTGGAATCTACGAAGGGAGACGGTGTGCTCAGTTCGAAAGACAGTAACACAAGGCGTTCCATTGCGTCAGCCATGAGGCAACGACGCTGCCGTCTTCGTAACATGAAGGGCAACTCAGGGCCTCTTGAGCAAATCCGCGAAGTGAAAATTTGTAGTACACGCAGCGCGGAAAGTTTGCCAGATGTGTTTTCACGTGCAAGAGCGGCCAGGCACGCGGAGGAAGAGCGTCAGAAATCCGAGGAAGAAGGTGCTCTGTCGCACAGCGATGCTCTTACGGAGGGTTTACGGACTCCAGAGTCTGATTCGGACAGTGCGTGCATTACACCCGCTGCGCCTGGCTCGGCTCCACGGGTCTCGGTATTGGAGCTGATAAAGACGAAGCCACACGTCATGGACCCCCTTATTTACGATAGTCTTCGCATAGTGAACCAGTTGATCCCTCCAACCAATTGTCGCTGCACCGCCAGAGCGCTTGCAAAGCTTTACGCGGCATTAGGTGAAGGAAGAATAATAAGCAAACCTCTTCTTGACGCTGCTCGTGTTGCGCACACTGTGGACCCCACTCTAGAAGCACTTCTGCTAACTGGGGGAGGCAGCAGAACATGGGGCTTGGGATACCAGCTCTATGAGTGTCTATATCTGTCTCCGCCTGGCTGGGGTGGGATGCGGCTAGGTCACGGCAGTCAAGCGGGAGCTACTTTACTGCACAGCCGCAAGCCGAGTACAGCTGAATATGTGTCTAGGCGAAGCAGGCGATCACGAGACAGCAATATTTTTGCTAGTTTCGGGTCCAACGCTGGGCCTGTTTTTCAGAATGATGTGGAAGCCCTTCTTCGCGACAGGGGCCTCTCTTCGTCGCATCCATGGGGAGCAACATTGGGCCTGAAGCCGCGTGGAGTGGTGGGCTTCGGTCACGGCGATGTTGGGGGCTCTGTAGCCCTTTGTTTCCCCGAAATGAACTTGTCAATCAGCATCCTTCTTAACGATGTTCTGACCGGACCGGAGGTGAGCGCCCTCACTTGAATTATAGCAGTTATCCTCAGTTTAACGTGCTTGTTGCTCTGTGATATGCAATGCCACGGCTCGTTGCTGTTATCATTACAGGGACCTCAGTGGTCCTCACCAGTTTTGTTGTTACGAGGTTGTCTAGCTTAAGGTTCTGGGTCTTCTTGCGCACTCCACAGGCCTCGCAACTCATCTTGGATTTCCTGCTTATGTGCTTTGGCTTACAGCCAAAGTGGCAGACACAAGTTAGCATTGACGAACTGCTGGAGAATTTAACACCGCCGCTTTCTCAGTCCTAAATGCACCACGAAATAACTTGGGGGGAAGCGTAACCGTCTACAAATTGGTCAGGGACTGAAGGTTTCAATTGGCTGATGAGCGCAGGCCATATGAGTGTTTGAGACTGACCTTCGAGTCAGGCGCCAGGGCGCTTCAGAGCAAGCATCGCAAGGTAACTCCGTAACAACGCTTTCTACAAAAACGTGTTTTGGCAAGCATATAACAGTCAAATCTTTGGTCTGTTGCGTTTCATTTCCTGGCCTAGCATACTCAATTCTAGCTGGTACAGCTCCATTTTTACTGACCAGGTGCAGTCAGCAAGACGGTGGCCTGAAACCCTTACTGCTGTACTGCGAAGCTCCTGAGGCACATTTGAGGTTGTACTTACTTATTGTAGACACTATCCAGCGTCGCCGGCTTCCACAGTTTCGCGAAGAAAAGGAGCAGTCAAGGGACCAGCTAGGAGTCTAATCAAATTTAGAAAGTAGTGCCTTAGGCAGTGCTTTATTGACACATTGTAATAACCAGCAGCACTTAACTGATTGCAGCGAAAATGTGTGCACGCTATACCACTGCAAAGTGACCTCTCTTCTCAGCTACTCGGAGAGCAGGGAGGCGGGCAAGTCAGACAGCAGCACAGTGAGTGTCGTTTCCTCGTCCATGTTTAGTTGGCTGTGGCATGCAGCAATGCTTGCAAATTCTCAAGCGGGAAACCATCCAACGCAACGCGAGTCACAGCAGTTTCAGACTCGTCTTCCACCCATCGTGAACACGTTCAGTGCCTATTTCGATGCCTTTTTCGATGCCTATTGTTTCAACAGAAGCATGGTGCGCCACGTGAGCCTTTTTAAATCACCTGCAGGAAAGGCACAGGCGAGAGCATTTTCACCAATCCGGGAGAGAAGCCATAGTTAAGAAACTACGGCTTCTTCTCCGGATTGATGTAAACTGTCTTCGTTGGATGAGCGATTGGCGCTAAATGACGAAGCTTGCATTTCTTTCAATTTATATATCCGGATCCTGGACCGGTAAACAATTATTCCGTAAATGCACTGTACAAGGAGGAGGCTTCAAGCGAGTCTCATGATGGGTGTACCAGACCTTAGGCTTTTGCTTCACTCCGCTCTGCATCACTGCACAGGCGGCTCAGTATTGCCCCTCGACACCTGAGACAGTGAAATGGATTTCAACACAGTTCACCCGATACGCTTTCCACTCTGCGGCTAATGATCCTCCCACGGGGACGCTTTGCAAGCGGCAAGCATTCGTGCTTTGCATGCGACATAACTCTTGAAGGTTTGCATTGGTTCATTTGTTGCAGTGCCCAGTTTACTCGCAGTTATCGGCCGAACTGTGTCCGCTTCAAGCACGCCGGTAAAATTTGATGAGCGAGCTGCAAGAGACAAAAGCCATCGGAAGGTGGCTCTCATCTCTGCAAATGAGTAAAGGCAAGGCACGCGCACACTACGCAACGTTCCCACACACAGATATTACACAGATGAATCTGTGTTCCTTTTTGGTCACTCATTAACTCTTCAGCGGGAGAGCCATTTGAAAATGAAAATGAAATCCTATGTCTGCATGCACTAGTCTTGGGTCGGGCATCATCTGGCTGGCTGCCTTTTGCCGTTCTGCCCATGCACATTACTGGTAGACCACAGTATCTGCCATTTACGGATGTTGTGAAGCCGTCAGACTGGAAATGCCAGACTACTTGATGCCGTGTAGGCCAGCTGCGTCTCAGGACCACGCCGTTAAAATATCTTTCACCAGGAAATCGCCGCAAAGAATTCACGACCCCACCTCATCCCTAGTCGTGCCATGCCACCGCTAGGCACACTGAAAACACATTCGTCTGGCAGCCACTGTTCAGTGAGCTGTAATCTCTCTGCAGCGACTATGTATGTAGAGGGGATAGGATCCACTTGTTTGGACGTATGTGCAGGAGGAAGGCGGTAGTAAAACTACACAATGCTCCAGTACACGGAAATGCTTCAGACGGGTGTGGCCAACAACACCGATTTGAAAAGCCGCCGCCGCAACCACCCCACGCAGCACACTCGGGCATTCGTTCGCGGGCTCTTCACACAACAAATTGTTCCAACGTGCTTGCAAATTCTTCGTAAGAGTTCCAACGTGGAGGTCATATATTGAGCGACATGAATGGCTAGCAGATATGCCACATCCCCGGATACTGAAGGTGCGAACAGGTGGTTGCTTCGCCAAAAACCAATTCAAGGAGCCACAGCCTCTGTGGCTCCTTGAATTGGCTTTTTGTTGTTCACCTTGGTGGCTTTTCATCTGGATGATTTTTACTGGATACTCGTTAAGCAACCATGTCCAGGGCAGACTGGGCGGGGAGATGCACATCGCGCAATCAAATCACGCCTCCCGATGTCTCGAAGTGTGTGGCAATTGCGAGCTAGCATTTTCGTAGAGCACGGGGCACTTCGCAAAATCCCAGAGTAGCGTCAACTTGTAGAACGTCAATTGTGGCTTCTCTTGTACATATTTTCCTCTGGCCTGCTACCTTTGTTGCACTTCCAACTGTCGTGTTCAACGGCCTTAAACAGTGCCACGACAAAACACCTTGATAAAGGAAAATCCGATGTCTACAAGCGCCCCAAAAAGCATTAGCCTGTCCACCACGCCCTATACAGCAGCGGCACAGAATGTGTGCTTGCCACAGGTGCACTCTCAGTGTCGACACATAAACAGCGGCTATCTACGGCGAGATTAATCACTGGGGTCTCCTTTCAAGTTACTTTCTCCCATCGGCACTTGGCGGGGCGAAGGACAATAAGTAGACGTGTGATCACGTGCCGTCGCGATCTTGATAGCCTAGGTGTGTTAAGACTGTGTTACCTTGCCCACAGCAACTCGCTCCTTCAGTGCGTAGCGCTAGGTATGGCTCTAGGGGTTCTATCGGCCACACACCGACAAAAACTTAAAATGCTCTTTTACAACCCAAGGCCTCAAAGTACTGCGAATTGAGCGCTTTCTGCATGCTTCCATCGCACTTGAAGTTTCAGGTGCAGGGCCGTTGCAAGCTTCCGACGTCCAGTTGTTCTTCCTCGTTCCGTTAATAGCCTATATGGTTCTCAATCAGACTGAGTGCAAGTAATTAAATACGGCTAAAAAATCCCGAAGCAGCGTCTAGTTGTGCTGAATTGAATGGTTACAGAGTCATTACATGTCGTCGTAGCCGAGTCCGCATTAACTGCGACATTATTACAGACTACCATATGAAACACATGAAGAAAAACAGTAGCAATGAAGCCCCAACATAAATATTTTTGAATTACTGTTTTCAGATTTGCTGCCGCATTGTGCATACTGCAATGCCCAGCCCCAATCCTTGTGTTGGAGCCTCGCTAGGAGTAGACGGAAATACCGCTATGAAACTGCGAAGACTTCACCTAAACGTAGTCGTATTGCCATTTCGATACTTTGCTGAGCATTTTCTCATTAATTTTAGGCTCACTGTAGCTGGAGCCCTTACAGACTAAGCATCTCGCATCCACAATTCGCCTCGAACTCCTGCAGTGGGGAGGACGTGATCAAAGCTTCCCAAAATATTCTCATTGCTCATGTCTTTCTGAATTATTGAGAGTATTTACACAGCTATTGTGTGCGTCCGCGAAACAACGTGAAAGGTTTAGCTTCTCCACCCGCCACAGCTGACGATGCCTTCAGCGATTGTCGGCGCCATCACGAGCGTCACTTATCGTTGATTCGGAAGATATACCGTTATGTAAGGGTGGTGGTATTCAGTAAAATTACCACGCTTTGCATCCCAACGGCAAGACGCACAAGAGGAGGCCTGGTGAAGTCGGGTCATGAGCCACGCCAGAAGGACATGACGTTCTCTGTCTAGTGGAAGGGCCGCGAAAATTGTCACAGCTTTTGGAGTCTGGATATCGTGCTTCTTATTTGCCTGGGCAAGTGAAAAACAGTCGAGGCCTACAATGTATGGCGAGGGCGTCGGTACACCATGCCCAAAGGCAAGTCAAGCACGGCATCAACTGTCTAATCGTCGTTTGCACACGCAAAATCACAGTTCAACTTGTCATTCGCATTGCTCTATCTTCCGAGTTTGCTGTAATATGGGTCGATACAGGCAACAGTGGGCGCGTCCAAGTATCGCGCTCACATGGCCTTAGTAGGGGCCTTTCTTATCCACCTGACTCTCGGTAAGGAAATACATTCATGACTTACGGATTCCAGTGTTCCTACGAACTGTCAATGGGGGATACGCGGTGTGTGTGCAACTGTCAGCCAAGAAAGACAAGTGGGGGGCTTCGGTGTTTGTTTATATTACTTTCGCATCCTTTCAGGAAGTCTACACGCCTTCGGCAATATAGCGCCTTCAATTATTGCTTATATGCGACTACTACAGCCATCTACTACCATCCGCTACCACGTACGCCTTGGTTCAGTTTAGTTCGGAGTAGAAGGTCGTCATTAGGTTGAGCTCTACCTACGGGTTCTTGTCTTACTGGCTCTACGATGCGTGTGTTGCCCACATGCCTTTTACAGGATGGGCTCGTGTTGTATGTCTCCGCGGTGCTGGTCCAGGGCATAGCAGGGTTCTTTGGCGGAAGGCTTCACAGAGCCCTAGGACCCACTAAGTGAGCTGGGAGAAACACAGCGCTGCGGAGTTTTATTGCTGCGCAGCTGCTGTTCCGCTTAGCCTTCGTTTGTCCCCAAAATAGATGCATGCGTGTACCCGTTGGGAGACAGTCTGTATACTGCACAGTTTGTTGAACGCTGCCTTTCCCTGACTGGTACCGAGCATCCATGATTGACTGCGTCTTCTTGCTCGTCTGTTCGTGCAGCATTATTGCGGAGGCATCATATTTGCACAAGTATTGTGTATATTTTTCAGCTCTCTTTGGTCAACGTCTTGTGAATATACCCATAGTTGAGTGCAACAGTTGCTTCACAGAGGTGAAGCTGTGGTCTTGCGTGTCATTTTTTGTTTAGGCGTTAGCATGTTAGTCTTGCGCTGCTTTGATTTCTGCTACCACAGGGCGACCCTTCTTGGTGGATCTGTCATGAGCATTGGTCTTGTCATGTCCGCGTTGACTCTCCATAGTTGCTTCCTTTTCTGGTGAGACCGGACGCATTATTGTCGGTGCTCCGGTGCGATTGTTTGCCAATTCGCGTGAGGAGAACTCGAAGCGCTGGAGTAACTGGAGCTAAATATATGTCGCATGCCCCTGTTCCGTGCAGCCTCTCGTTTGGCGTCGTCACTGCCATTGGCAGCGGCCTCTGCTACCCTGTGCCGCTGACTTGCGCTCTGGAGTGGCAACCACATCGAAAAGGCACAGTGCGTAAATAGGATATATGTTCATAGAGGAGCTTTTACCGAGCCCTAAGGAGTTCGGATGTTGTTGAGGTTTTAGCTTGGCTCGCCGGTGTACTAGCCAAGTGCATATGCCCTAGTCAGCAATATGGCTTGTGCGCTGTAGGTAAGCTGCGTGATATTCCTTGGGCGCAGCTTGTCTGTCTGTCTGCTTTGCCCAATACATTCTTTGCTACTTTTTCGCAATACGCAACACTCGTTACTCTCCTTTGTCTCACCTGGAGGAGCCGAAGATGGCTTGGCAGGTAAGAGATAAGCTAAGCAGCTCGGTATTGTCTCAGAAGCATTGCAGTGCAATGGCACTTTTTGTTATGTATACAAAACTTGTGCTTCGATCGCATTACATTGTGTGCTGCGGTTGCAGTGCCTGAAGTCTATGTGTCGGACACAGCTGTGCTCCAACGCCTGCCAGCACTGTTTCTCCTGATGGCAGGTGCATGCTTGGCACTTCAGGTGCGTCTGTAGTCTATCAGCAGAATCACTGCATTTTATTTATTCTGCATAGAGACGTTTTCAACATTTGGTTATTGGCGTTTTATCTAATGCAGGCTGTGGGCGCTGCGCTCTTATCTGACCCACCGCCGCTGCCAATGGACTCTCATGAACGGCGAAAGCTGATTGAGGAGATCCGTTGTGGGTCTTCATTGAGAATGTGCTGCCTTCAAAAGTGGCGTTTGCAGCTCAGAGATAACGAGCTTGCTCCGGTTTTATATTTCTCATGCTCTTGTGTGGCTTCCTTGTTCGCAGCGCCCTCACCTGCCACGGCGGCTTCGCTGCTATCCTCCTTCGTGCTGACACCCCAGGACCTTTGCAGCTCTTCGTCATTCTGGTTGTTGTTCATGATGCTGTTCTTTTCTTGGCAGTCTGTCCTTGTAGCTGCGTACATGTGGAAGATTGTGCCATTTGTCTTCATCCATAACGCTTCTGCTAGCTCGTATGTAGATACGCCGGATCTTAACGTCGCCCCGACGCTGACAGACGGTCTCCAAAGCTGGCAGTCTGTAACAGACCTGCACCTAAGCACAATTGGCGCAGTTGCAGGCGCTTTGTGCGTAGCTGGGCGTCTAGTTTGGGGCTATATCGGCAATAAAGCTGGAAATAAGCGCGCTCTCGTAAGCTGCACCTGCACTTCCATTTTGATGAAACAGTTAGGAGTACAGCTCAGCTGCTGCATTCTGTCTCTTTAATCGTTTTGGCAAACATGGTCATGCTTCGATGTTAACGTTTGTGATTACTGCAGATCATTATGAATCTTTGCATGGCGGCGCTCTTGGTAACGTTCATGAACCGCAGCATGGCTTCCCCTCGAGATTTCGCTCTGTGGTGAGTTTTAGGTGCCATCTGGAGGGCGAAACACTGCCGAGTGCAATGTCTTTCGCGGTAACTCGTCCGTGGGCACGATACGTACTTGTGTAATTTTACCGCAGGCTTGCCTTACTTAACGCATGCCACGGCGGACTGTTTTCGGTGCTGCCATCCCTCACCTCGGACTTGTTTGGCCACAAGAACTTTGGGCCTGTCTTTTCGCTGCTCTTCGCGGCAAGGCTTTGCGCCGCTGCGTGCATATGTGTCCTCACCAAGGCATGACACAGTCACTTCATGTCTCATCCGGGCCAAATTGCACAAATTTTATAGTTTTTGACTGCACTGGTGCATACGTAGAAGTCTAAAGCATACGTTTGTCAGTGTTTGTGTGGTGGTATGCACCTCACAGTTCGATGCTTTGCTTGAAAGCGCAGCTACTCCCTGTTCTGCCCACTTTTCTAAATTCCAGCGGCGCCGCATTGCTGTTCTTGTTGCAGGTCGTGCTAGAGCTTGCAGACGGAGTGACGCTGTGCATGACTTTGGCTGGGTGCCATGTTCTATGGTGAGCTTGGAGCTCTGTCGGTCATTCCTTCACTACAATTAGCTAGAAGGCGGCCAGCCGTCTCAACTCTAGCAGGGGCCGCATTTATATTTGCTGGGATTTTTGCGCCCTGATTATGCCAAGTTACGAGCTGTAGAAGCGCATAATCTTGTTGCTGTTCGCAGTGCGGGTTTGGCCCTGGCCTTCCATCCAACTGAAGCTCTGCCCAATCCGTACAAGCTGGTGATGACCTAACGCTTGACACCTCTCCTCGGCAAAAGTTTTGTGAGTCGCCTCAAGACGCGGCTCACAGTCCTTTTTATTAACTCTTGGACAGATCAGAAACATGAAAACTGCTAGATGGAGCGCCCAGAAACGCGAATACTGCTACATGGGAGCCGTTCAGTGTGAGTTCGAGAGGAATCTCATCACTTGAGGGTGGCTTCACTTCAAAAGAACGGAATCAAACAAAAAAGTGCATTTTGTATTTGCAGCACAGCACGTTTGGGCTACTGCAAGCCTTGCCAAGAAGTTTTTCTTCTGCTCCGGTGAAGCATTGCGCCTTAGCTGGTCAGCTGTGTAGGGCGTAGGGTGCATCCAGTGTATAGTGTGGGCTGTCTCTGCCCAGACTGCAGTTGTCACTGCTTTTGATCTTGTAGGGGATGTTGGAAGTCTGCTCTCCGCAGACGTGGACAAGCGACGTGCTGATGTTTGTTCGTTGTACGAGGCGAACTTGAGCTACGGCTGTCCGCTTTTTCGCGTACAGCGGACAGCCAAGCGAGGACTCCGTTTTAACAGCTTAACAAATGTGTAGTTTGATGTGGCTCTTCCAAATTCCGTTTAAGTTTAAGGATAATGAAGACAGTTTAGTACATAGTGCAGATGAACTGAATGTTCGTTGCGGTGCGTGAGAACTTCGATGAAGTAGTTCAACTGTAGTTTCCTGTACATGTTCGTGAGCCAGTTATGCTCATAAAAGGGACTTCTCAGGAAAGGAGGGGAAGGCACCAAGAGCATGTGTGCATCCGTGAGCACGTTTGCTGAGAAGTTAGCACGCATCTAACTTGCGGGTGGTAGCGAGGAGCTTCTGTTCCTGATGGCTTAGTGGTTCCAAATTTTGGTGGTTTGCTTATTCGAAGTGTCCAGTGTCCTGTTCTGCTTTTAGTGCACACTGCCCCTGCTCGTGCATGATTATTTACGCTGCTCCTGCACTTCAATGGGTGGCAGCAGCCGTTCACAAGAATGACCATTCCTTATTGGTAAGAACAGCTGTTTGATACTACCTACGACTTGAGAAAACGATAGTCCGTTATAAGCAGCTACATGGTTACCGTGTTCGTTTTGGTGAGGGTCACCTACACCGCCGGCACTGATTGCGATGGAATGCGTCATTTTATGGCCCATGTTGTCTGAAATTCTTAGTATATTTTGGCACTTTTAACTGTGAATAAGGCTTCTTGTAGCAGTAACTTTGCTTTCATGAAGGGCGCGCATACTGCGCAGGTGCTCTAGTTGTCGAGCCTCTGACCATCGGCGGACGTCGAAAGGACCGAAATGTCAAAAAAGTGGGACTAGCCAGCCCCTTTGGCACGTAATAAGCTGCATTTACATTCAAATGTGGACGTCTACCTGTTAGGAGCAAATAGCCGGTACGACATTTAGCGCTTCAGTTTGCGCCGTCTGCTCGAAACTTCGAGACCAAACCGCTGCCGAAAGAGCTCAGTGCACCAATTTGATTCATACTTTGCGAACCCTTGCTTCATGAAAGAAAAGAAAAACATAGTTATTATTTTCTTAGCATTTTTACTATTTTCAACTGGGGTGAATGGCTAGAACAGCCTGTAGCACGCGATACGTCGTCGTGTCTCCAGCACTCAACTGGATGGCTGTTCGCCCCCTATCGGCACCAGCCTAGTAGTGACAGGAGCCAGCCGCCTGGATTCACAACATGAGCGCATATGTTAAGGGCTTCATTTCAACTGGTGAACATTAATGTTTTGCTCCTGAATATCAACTAAATCACCATGGATGCGTGCTTTGCTCGCACGGTCGTCCTTGTGGCCACCGTCACCGTTGCTATGACGGTCGACTGTCATCGGGCCCCTTCAAGTTCGGAGAAACCTTTGAATGGCTACACTTCCCAAGCACTTGGCCATGCCTACGAAGGCTTGATCTTTGCTCAGGAAAAAGGAAACGACACGCCTCTACTGCATCACAGCCGACGGCTACGCCAGAATGGTTGGAAAAACCGTCCACACTCGCTGCAAGAGCAAGCCGGCAACTACAACACTCCACTATATGGGCTTGCAAACATTGAAGAGAACTCTAACGGCTACGAGCTCTGGCATTCTACAAGGACTCCAGATAGGAGACTCGGGGAGGAAGCCAACGCTTCATTTGCTCTTCTCAGTGCTTCTCCACCTGGGTCAGCTAAGAAAGGAGGCTCTCGCTCAAATTTGCGCAAAAGCGGAGAATCGGGAAAGGGAACAAGCAGCCCCATTTCAATTTTTAAGGCCATTGGACGACCTTTCGCGTCATTAGGCGCAGCCGCGCTGAGAGCTACTGGGGAAATCAGGAAGCTCTTATTCAAGCCCAAAATGTCTTGCAAGTTGGAACTGAAAGACAATCTGATTGGAGGCCACGGTTCGCCTATAGTGGCGAAGGCCATTTCCCGGTTGCCGCTTCCAAAGACGGACAGGAGACTGTTGGCAGTAGAGGAGGGGCTCGATGTGCATTTTCCTAGAGACCAAGACATAACCTTTGACTGTGTGGGCTACGACCAGAGCATAGTTCTTCGGCGCGGTGCCCTGCTCGGAGCTGGCAACTTTGGGTACGTGTTCTCCCTTACCAGCAGGCATGGTGCTCAGTACGCCGGCAAGATCTATGCCATTCAGCAAAGCGAAAAACACACAATGGACATCGCAAAAGACCAGCTTAAAATATTGAATTATCTACCCCCAAACATGGATGCCGCTACAGCCCTCCACACTCTGCATCTTTCGCTTCCTCTCTGTGTCATATCAAAGCGCTACGCCCCAGCTGTGCTAGACTTTCCCAACAAAAAGCAAATCTTGAATGCGATTGTTCTGTATCCACGACTCCGCATGGACTTGGTCTATCTCTCTGCTTCACTGTTCAACTATCGCCCCGAAGACCGCGAAGTGCTGATGATTCTAACACAGCAGGTTGTAACAGCTGTCAACGACTTGCACAGCCTCCACCTGGTGCATTTCGATATCAAGCCCCAAAATTTTCTTCTCACCGAGAATGGCAGTGTCATGGCAGCCGATCTTGATGGTGCAAAGCGTGTGGGGTCGCCGGTGATGCCCGTATTGTATACCATCGCCTTCGCAGCCCCGGAGTTGGCTGAGATTATTGCGAATATCAATGAAGACGCACAGGCTGAATATACCATGGACTCGTGGCCACTAGGAATGACAATCTACTCCCTTTGGTGCCTAAATCTGCCACTTTCCAAGGAGTTCCGCTCACTGCCTCCCAGTGACAGGCTCATCTCACTGTATAAGTCCCCCCAAGATGCTCTGCTATTCGACCAGGAATGCACGGCTAAGATGCCACCAATGGTGCTCGACTTAATAACCAAGTTCATGAAAATCAACCCTAAGGAGCGCCTAACGCCGGCTCAAGCAGTTGCATCACACCCAGTAATGCAGCGAAAATCTGAAGGAGAAGCAATAAAACCACTCATCAACTCAAGGTTTCCCGCAAAAGCTTCGGCACCGTCAACTGTTTCAACTGATACAGGAGGGCCCAGTCTTACTTCCAGTTACGTGTTTGTGACACCAAAGATGGTGGAAGCTGGCCAAAGCTTCGAGCAACAGGTCGCAAAGACTGCCAAGACAGAAAACACTGGATTCGAACTTGTTGGAAGCTACTTAAGAAATCTGAGGCCTCTAAATGACGCGCAGTACTTCGCCGCATCTGCGCACAGTTCAGACGCCCTATGGGATGAGCGCCGAGAGGTACCAGAGGGACACTCGTCTGAAACTAACTCAGTTTAGCTTGTCCCCACGTTCTCAAAACATCAAACGCAGCGTGGATACTCCTGGAGGCACGCCTGTCGGGTCATATGTATTTAAGTGTCGCAGCGCTTGCCTCCTCTAATTGTTTTATAAGTTTGAAAACTAATTGTACTGCTCAGTCTTGAGCGAGTTTTAGGGTTGCGGCACTAACTCGGAAAGGCCCCAATCGAATTGAATCTCCAGTTTCTTATATGAAAGCATGTAAACTACGTGTTTTGAATCCTGTTTTTTCAATATAGAAATACTGGTGCGCAGTGAAATTCGGGCAGACTGAAGTAGCCACATTGCAGTTTTGTCGGATAGATCGCTTTTATTCTCCAGACAATTGCTTCCTTATTTGGCCAACTAATCTACTGCTACTTCTTCTCTCCTCCGAAGATTCCTTAGTATTTTTCGCAGATCGTGTATTGACAAAGCTGCCCCATGATTGCTCCTTCACAGATTCACTGTCGAAAGAAGGCGCTCTCACACCGAAATCCCATACTTCCACTCCTCGCATGAAGACCCCGCAGACGAATTTTGTCATCGCTGTTCATGTACCTCTCAGCAACCAGTCAGCCATGTGGCATGAAAATAAAGTAAGTGAGCTATACCTGCTCAAGAAAACGTGTACTTCACCCTGTTCTGGGCTTCTGCGCACGTCTCACCAAGATATCTCGTCACACGCAGATTGCAGCGAACATTTATGCCGGTTCAGGTGCACAGCCATCTCTGCTTGGGCTGCGGCTTTAGTCACGGCAGAAAGAAGAACAAATAACAAGAATCCCTAGACTCACGCATTCAGCTGTTCTGTTTTGAGTTCCTCCCGGTTTGTTGGCCCCCTCGGTCACTTATGGGAAGGCAGGAGTGGAACAGCACAAGCAAAACACAAAAATGTTCCAGCAAATGCATCTTCAGACGAGCAAAAATGAATTTGCTCAATAAATTGCTCTGCAATCGCAGACATGAGGCATCAGCTCACCAGGGCTCGGCAGCATGCGGAGGCAGTGGAAGCTCCAGAGTTGACGGAGGTTTCAGGCTGCTCGAAAGGGGGAATGTTGTGATTATAGATAGCTTCCTACTTTAGAACTAAGCTGTGGTGCACTGTTCTTGTTTGGGTTGAGGTATCATCAAGTCCAGGCTCTGTTTTAAGCGCGTCTTCAGCCTCTATTTTGTAGGGCGAGCCCCAGCTTCTCATCCCCACGGGCACCGGGGCGCGCCAGCCACCAGAGTTCCCTTGAATTACAGCTTTTTTAACGCAATTTCCACCGTCGGCTTCATTGTGCATTCAGTTTCCAAACTGCAGCCGCCAGGTCAGACGCATCGACTTGCCACCGCCACCGCGCAGTGCAGCGACAATTAGACGCGGCAACTCTGTGGAAGCCGGGCCTGAGCGACTTTTGAGTATCCATTTTGTAGAAGGGAGGGACTCTGCCAGGAAGCGTGGGGAAGACATGATGGGGATACCCCCTAGGGGGCTCCGGCTGCAGCGTCGTTGTGCTGGTTTTCCTGGGCGTGAGTGATATGCAGCTGGGGCAAGCATCACCTACAGGTACTCAAGGTACTACACTAGTTTAGTTTGATCCACGGAGTTCACGTACGGCAGGTAAAGTTTTGAAGCAGCTGGAAGGATTATCGGGCAGTAGCAACGCAGAAACACAAATTGTTTGAGAATACTCAAACTTTCTCTCTCCGTGCACTTGCTAGTTGTTGGGTTCCGGCTGCTGCGACAATGACGGGTCCTGGGGAGGTCGCTTTGTCGGACGGCAGAGGTCACCGGCCCAGCGGGTCTCATTCCAAAGACAAGCACTCTAGTAGCAGCAGCAGTAGTAGCAGCAGCAGCTCCAAGAAACACCACAGGCCCAGCAGCCACACAACCAGTACTACGGTTAGCAAATCCGCAAAGAGAAGCAGCAAGGGAGGACATGCCGAGCGCGATAGTAGCTCTGGAAGGCCCAAAGGCGGCCAGAGTAGCAGCCAGGGGCAAAGCAGCGGCAGCAGCAGTAGCAGCAGCAGTCACGGCCACAGCTCCAGCCACAAGAGGAGCAAGGATGATCAGAAGCACACGAGCAGCAAGCACAAAACTGAGACGAATGCGACTCACCACGAGAGTAAAGGCCACTCTAAGGACACAAAGAGCCACAAGCGCTCCCACTCACACAAGGCGGAGGAGCCAAAGCGGCACCGCAGTCGCAGCCGCAGCGCCGACAAGAAACGCAGAAAGGATAGGAGCCCCTCTTATCAGCCCCCGGCTGTGGTGAACACCACTGATCCCACCAAGAATAGCCTAGGGGATCCATTCCCCCCCGACCTTGAAGGCCCCTGCTATGTGAAGCTGCTGCCTCAGCAGCGCGACGTATCGATCTTGTTAGGAGTGGATAACCGGGGTCTCTCGAATATGGCGAAGAGCCACGCCTGCAAGAGCCGCCTCTCAACGAAGGATATATTCTTCCCTGAGACCAACAGGCGCATGTTGTTGTTGCAAGGACCTCTGGAGGCACTCCACAAGATGTTGCGACAGGCTCTACAGACGATATCAGAGCCAGGGAAACATCGGGACAGCCCGCGGAGCTGCACGGTTACGTTTATAGCCCCCCATGAAGTCTGCCTGGGCATACCCGAAGGCGCAGATCAACCGCTGCGCAAGCTGCGCAAAGTAGGCAAGGCCAAACTGAGCATCAGCGACAGGAGAGACATGAAGAAACAAGGGGGGCGCGAGCGCCTGCTGACCCTGGAAGGCGGTTTGCCGGACGTGCAGGATGCGGCGTGCACAGTAGCGACGTTGCTGCAAAAGCAGGAGAATCTGCGGGACTACTGTAACCTCAAGTACGACAGCTGCATGCCCAAGGCCGATCCTGAGGAGGAGGAGGAGCCCGTTGAGGATCCCTTGGGGGAGGATCTTGATGAATCTACTATGCAGGCCCTCGCCAGTATCCTGATCCCGCCCGAGAAGGAGCCAGTGAAGGCGGGGGTGGCTAGCGTGGCGCCCAACGTGCCTAATTTGTCGGACTCGGCAAAGGCGGCACTGATCAGTCAAGCTCAGGATGAACTGGCCCGCATCAGCAACTTACAGTACATGCGCGACACCCGCACGGTTTTGATGCAGGGCCCGGCTTACCACAAGGTGCTGGTAAGCGATCTGATAGCTGCGCAGCTCCTTGGCTCCAACGGGAACATCATCAATCAATTCGAAGCGGAGTACGCTGTGCAGGTCAAGGTCGCCCCCCCCGAGCCCCCGCCCTGCACGGAGCGCATAGTGATTATTAGCGGGCAGCCACAGGACGCCGACCGCGCGCTGCTGGCGGTTCTCGAGAAGGTGTATGCTGCTTGTCTTATGGTCGGCCATGCCAACTTCATGGTGTGGCGAATGTGCGCCATGAGCACCTGCTGCGCCCTCATCTGCGGGCCCGGTGGCCAACGCATTCGCCAGCTGGCAAGCTTTACAGGAACACGAATCCAGATATCAAACAGAGACCAGCAGACGCCGTCCCATCACGCTGCCCAGTTGGTGCCTTCTAACCCACACGAACGCATTATATCTATTCTGGGGCCCCTTGAGCAAGTCACAATTGCAGTAAAAGCTATGCTGCCATACATTCACGCGGACCCGAACCAATCATTGTCTGTACACCAGACGTACGGCCACGGATACAAGCTCAAGATGCCAGCATGGGCAGAGACCGGTGTCTTGCAAGAGGGAATGAATATGGAGGCTCTGAAGGAGGATCCCTTAGAAGACGAGCGGCCGGTGTCGCTGCCGGGTCCATTCCACGTGAAGCTGCTGATCGACCCCGCACTGGCAAACTCCCTGATAGGCAAAGAGAGCGCGACCATTACCAGAGTCGCGGAGGAATGTGGCTGCAGCATGCACGTGTTGTCCTCAAAAAACAAGTTCCCCGAGTCGACAGACCGCATTCTGCTTATGTCCGGGTCCACTGAATCCATAAGCACGGGAATTATTGCCTTACTAGAGCGCTGCAAGGAGGTTCACCCCAACCTTCCATACGACCAAATGTACGCCAAACTTGTTGTGCCAACAAGCGTCTGCCCGACAGTTATAGGGCCAGGAGGCACTCGCGTAAGAGAGATACGAGAAGCCACGCTCACCCGCATCACTGTTGACAGGAATTCGAGCCCTTGCCCTGAGCGTATCATTGCCGTACATGGCATGGCCCAGGGAGTGCACCAAGCGGTGGTTGCAATTAGCACCATCGCGCAGACCGATCCCAGCCTGGTGCTAATGCTGGAGTTGCAGTATGACTATTTAGAGCAGCAACAGGAGACGCAGCAGCAAAATGCGCAGCTAGATTCGAATATAGTCGGCGCCGTCTTAGAGGGGGTCTTGTCAGTAACGAATAAAGTGGGAGGAGGAGCGACGGAGGTGGCCGTGAGGCGCCTTGAAGGGATGAAGCAAGTACGGCATACGTTCCCCATATGTTTCGTGGCCACGTTACATAGCATTTTGCTTTGCTTTCTCTTTGTCTTCTTGGTCTGTCTTCTTGGGTGTGCCCAGTTCATTTTTAATGCTTACTCGCGTAGTGTCCGCAGTGGCTGCTGGGGTGCAGTATGATACAGGTCTGTAGTAAATGCGACACTACATGGGACGTGGGAGAACGAGTTTTGCGCACTTCGGTTTGTTGCATTTTCTTTCTCTTTTTTTTTTCTGTTTTCCTTCAGGCAACAGCTGCTCAGGCCCCGCTGGGTCCTATGGGGCAGCACAAACACGGGTATACTCCGAACTACGATGCGCCAGTGTCGTTCGTAACGGCCTCCAACAACAACCCTGTAACAGCAGAGGCATCTAAGAGCTTCGCATTGGCACAGAGGGCAGCCCAGGCGCTCGGGGGGGACCCAAGGGTCCGCGTGCCCTCGCCACCGCGTCAGGCTGAGGAGTGGGAGCAGCAGCAGCGGGAGATTGAAAATTATGAGCAGCAGCGTCTGGCAGGACACGTTGAGGTGTACAGTAGCAGCGGAGGAGTACCGCCAGCTTCGGTTGGGGCCCCACCAGTGGGCCAACCGATGCCTCCTGCTGGGCCTGCTACTCCTGCTGCTACTGCAGCCTCTGCACAAAATGGCATGGACGAAGATGACGGGGATCCACTACTGGAGGGGCTTATGAACGAGGCCTTTTAACTGGCTTTGTGATTTCTAATATAGAGCTGTGCGGTTAGCAGCATGACTATAAGAAGCGAACAGCAGCATTGACAGCAGCATTAGGGCTCCATACACGCGACACTCCGGGCAGTTTGACCGTTTGTTCAAGTCTTTGGCATCTTGGCGTCTTGCATTTTTCTTGGCTTTGTGAAAGGCAGAGCAAGGATCATGTGCAGGCTCTCCACAGGAGGAGAGTAGGAGCATTGCTTGCGGGAATGGCCTGCCTAGTTTAGCTTTCAGCGTGCTGTTTCACTGATAGCACATTCGTTGTGCATCTTGGCATAAACTATCCCAACCAGGGTTGCTTCTCTTTGTCGTGTTTTTCCTCCATTTCGCCGTTCGGTTCATTGGTTTCCAGCTAAAAGAAGCGAAATGTTAGTATGGGATGGTTGGGGATCGAAAATAGAGCAAATGTTTTGCGGATGCTTTTTGCAGCTTCAATCCTTGTTCAAGTATATTTAACATGGTTATTTCCTGCTAGTGAGCACTGCTTACCGCAAAATTACTATGTTGCAGATGGACACCGCAGTTATGTATTCTTGCTATCTAGGCAAAAATGCAAGCTAAACATGCGTCTTAATAGAAGAATGATTTTGACGGGAGCGGTGCTTTAGGACCTAAATTGGCTGTATGCTACTCCGTGCGGCTTCATTGAGCGCAAGGTAGTGGGCCCCTCTCGTGGCTGGTTCCTGTAAATGTCTGCCATGGCTTTGGTAGGCAGTGCAGAGGGGCCGTGAGAATATCTCTACCGCATTCATAAGTGCCACTAATCAAATTAAAAGGTACGTTGTAACTTTGAGGGTGTTGACATTTGCGACGCTGCTAGCCGGCGTCTCATACACCTGTTAGAGTTCAGTCTGCTTTAATCCGTAATGGGTGGCGCCCCTAAAGGCAAGGGACAGAAGCGCGTTGGTGGCTATGTCGCCCTTTGTGGCCGCCATGTTACTTCACAGAAATGCCATCAAACATAATGCGGCTGCTAGTAAATTTAGCTGTAGAGCACTCCCAATGTAATAAGCGTTTCCTTATTGACATAGCTTACGACCAGCGGACGCATGTCTAGTTAATGAGGTACAGTCTGCTTATGTTGGGTCTGTAATGCGGGTTCTTCTACTTTAGCTCAAAGAGGAGCAGCAGTCCCATTCCCGCCGAAACGCATCTGCCCAGCCCTCCATGCTTGCAGAGAGCCTATAGGTCACCAGTATCAGGCCTGGCGCTCGCCGTTTCATATGGATCAGGCGTCTTATTGAGAGGGATGAATTACATTCTGTGGCTCCAATACGCCACACAGCATCCTCAAATGGGCTACCCCCGCCCTCGAGTCACCGTAGTTGTGTTGGGCAGCCAGAAAATCCATTGGATAGCGAATCGCAGAGGTCATGTAGGCAAGTTGATTACCATATTAGTTTTAGACCGAAGAAGAGTAGGTTCTTCCCTTCGTCACCCTGGTTTAGGTTGTATCAGGCAGGAGGGAGTTGCCCTCATTTTCCAGGTATTCACCTATGCTGTGGGAAAATAAGTTAGGAAAAGTATCAAACTTTTCCAAGCAAATTCGTCCAAATGCCTAATTTCGCATTTCTCAGTGGTTCTTTATTCGCTGGGAGCCCCTGGCACTACTGGAAGCCCCAGTATTAACGAATCGCATAATACAACAAGACAGAGAAGAGGCATTTAATCGTTATTTTATCATCCAATTAAGGTACCGCGCGTTGTTGTTTGTCCCTCAGTACATGCTTGTGGAAATTAAATACTGATTTCGGCCCGCGAGGGCCCCCAAGCCCTCATCGTTTGCAGTTCGTTCCATTCCAGCGTCTTGTTACGAGATCTTCCTAGTATAGCGATAATGAAAATGGAGGGGTCTCAGTGGTCGCTTCCAGCTGGCCTAAAGGGTCAGTGCCCGTACACCGTACTGGGTCTGTGTTTGCCTGAGAATGGGAGCCCTGTCACTGTGCAGGAAGCAGCAGCAGACTTATCTTCTGTAGAGTCCCGCGAGGCTCTTTCTCTAAAAGCAATCGGCACGGCGTATCGCCGGGCTGCCCTTAGAGCGCACCCAGACAAGAACAAAGGGAGGGAGACTGAGGCTGCTGCTGCCTTCTTAATTGTGAACTTGGCTTTCGCCTATCTCTCTAGCCGCGAGCAGCGGGAAGGATATCATCGGCACCTTCGGACGTTGCTTGCTTTGAGGGAGCAACGTGAGCAGCAGCAGCTGCGGTGGACAGAGAAGGACAGAGAGCGACAACGATTCAAGGCGGAATTGGAGCGTAGGGAGGCGGAAGCCCGCAGGGGCCCCAAAGTCAACATTGAAGAGGAGAAGTTAAGAGAAATCAGAGAGCGCAACGAGGCTCTTCTAAGGCAGAGATGCGAAGCGGATAGTCAGGCTAGACGCGACCTTTTTAAAGACAATTCTGCACGACTATTGTTGCAGCGGCAGCAGCATCAGAGCAGCGCGGCGTGTTCCCCCACTTCAGGGGAAACTGTACAGGGAGAGGAATTTACAGATGACATTTTAAAAAGATCTGTTTTGTTGTCGTGGCCGCCAGAGCCAGCTTTGGCGTCAGATAGGGCGCCCGGAGCGAACAACAACGGCGGCACAGCAGCAGCTGCCGCAGTTGACGCATACGCCCCAACCCCTGCCTCCTTGTGTGCCGAGCTCTACGGGCATGGCGCTGTCGATCTGTGCCTTTTTTCAAGGGCTAAAGGCCTCGCCTGCGTCTCCTTCTCTTCCCGAGAACGAGCAATTGAGGCGGCGCTGCTGCTGCAGCGGCAGTCCAAAGAAAAACGTGAACGGAAAGACCGACCTACTGTCAAGCTTGCGGACAAGGCCAAAGGCTTCGAAAAGCTATTTCTGAGAATCAGAAACGCTGCTGGGGCCTCTGATCAGCTGCAGCAAAACGAGGCAAATCGAGGTACGCCTACAGCATCGGAGCCCGCAGAGCATGCAGAGGCAGATGAACTGGACGAAGAAGTGGTGCTCGGTATCGCAAGGGAGACTGAAGAAGCAGCAGGTGCCTTTGCTGCTGCTCTGGCAGCTGAGCAAGCTGCTGCTACTGCTACTGCAGACATGCCCCTCAGCACTCCGGTTACTGCTTCACTGACTAAAAGCAACTGTAGTGTCCCACTACGCAGTAGCAGCAGTAGCACTGATAGCACCCTCAATGATGCAGAAGCCAGGCATGCTGCTACTGCCTTTGGCCTGGACGGAGCTATGGGTTGTCGGCCCACTAGCGCCGCAGCTGCTCGCATTTTGGAGTACGTGAAGAGCTGCGGCGCAAAGGGTCTAGCAGCAGCTGAGCAGCAGCAAGCGGAGGCAGAAGAAGAGGAAGGTTGGGAGTGGTTGGGAGGCTCCAAGGTGGCAGCAAGCATGAGCATGCAACAGCTAGAGGTGGCAGCCTTCGGCGAATTGCAGAGGAAGAAAAAGCAGCAGGAACAGGCACAGACGAAAGGGGAAAGTTAAGGGCTATTTCAGTTTTTTCAATTATTTGGAGCGGTAGGCAAGTGCACTGCTCAATGCATTCATCTGTTTGTCTTGGTGTTTTGTCTTCAGCCAATAAGTTTTGTTGCGGTGCGAAACTTCACAGCTTTTTGCATCGTCCTCTACTGGCAGTTGATGTCACGTGGGAATTATTAGCTGCCTTCCCTAATAAGATGTACAGGCAGCTTGTGTTGTACACACAACGGCATGCGCAGAGGCACCAGAAGGTGCACAAACTGCTGGAGGTCTCCAAGCAGTCTGAGGTGCACGAACAGCAGGACTACAGGCAATATGGGGTGCACAAGCAATAGGAACTGTACAGGCAGCTTGACATTGATAGAGTATTTGAGATGCACAGATGGCATACTATCAAACGCATTTTTGTAAGCAAAGTTTTGCAGTGGTGCAAGCAACGCATAGTCTTTTGTTTGGACAGACAGGGCGGTGAGTATGGGTTCTTGCACGGTGTCACAAACTCCAGTTTTGCAGTCCACTTTGCCTAGTTTGAGAGTGAGGAGGTGAACAAGATAACATGTTAACAGACCAACAGAACTAAGTGAAGTTGTCCAGTCAGAGATTTTGCTTCCTACAGATTTGAGCAGAAGAGCTCGGAGGAATGCCCGTATGCGTGCGGCAGCAATGCGCGTTTGTGCGTAGACACGCAATCAGTTGTGTGAGCGAGGAATGCACACAGTCGAGATTAAATAGTGACACAGATGAAAATGATGTGTGCCTTTACCGTAGCTGGGGAATAACTTTCCAAGAGTGGAGGCAAGGCAGTGCCCCCAGGACGGGTGAAGGAGCACGTGGACTCGGTCGCCCGTAGTGGCCCAGCCGCGAATTTGTATTCAGCTCTATCAGATATTTCATCCTCTATGGTATGGGGTGTAGGCTCAAATTAGATTCTTTTTGCCACGGGCAATTAGGCTGTTCCTTGGCAGCCACTCCGACATGGTGTTTTGGGACTCAGTAATAGTGCAGGAAAAGAGCTATAAACGCGCTTTCAATAGTCAGAATCAAACACAGGTGCAAAGGCTCTATTTCTGAACCCTTATTTTGGGTCTTATGGCGCGTTGTAGCGGAGTGGGAAGTGACCACTGGAGAGTATCTCCATGCCTTCCAAGGAGCTGCCTTCTCGCACCACCTATTGAGACAAGACACAAAAAGATTATTTCAATTATTTTGTTTAACTTGTTTGAGTGAAAAGCGCTTAAAGGGAGGAAAGTACACAAACAGCCTAATTGCTCCGATTGGCACGAGCAGCAAACCACCACGGGAAACTGCGTGAACACGAGCACGCTCCACTGATTAACAGGACAGTGCTACACAATACAGATACTTCGGTTTCATTGTGTAGGCTTTATGTGGATTATGTGCAAAATTTTATCCCTAGTTCTGTCATCCTTAGGCTCGTAAGAAGCCGCGGAGAGGCGGGCATTTGCGTTTCCAGCTGCACAACGGCATTGTTTGTTTGGTCTTACTTAATCTTTTAGTGTAAACTCTGATTTAAATTACTCAAACAAACAATTTGTATTTTTCGCTGAAGAATTTCAGCAAAGCATCAGCACAGCCGAAAACGATTTTCATTCTGTTCCGTCGTCGCCGACACCATACAGGAAGTGGGCAAAGATTGGCTGTTGTATCCACATACCCTGCACTATGATACCTTCAGCGAGACCCCGACTCCTGCAAGGCCTTTCAACGTTTGTTGGCCTCGGTGGCCTAACCAGTTGTCCACGTATGTGTCTGCGCAGCCTGGGTTGTTGGAAGGCTTCAGCTTCCTTCAGCACCGGCAGACGCGACCGCGCACAAAGCAAATCATTTGACGAGTACCGTAAAGCAGTGGGCATTAAAAGCCAAGAGGAATACATAAGACTTGATGCCGCTAACTGCGCTCCTAATTATGTACCCACTCCTGTTGTTATTTCACGAGGTGAAGGAGTTTACGTATGGGACATAGATGGAAACAAGTATTTGGACTTCGTTGCCGGGATTTCAGTGAGACCTTTCTTCTGCCGCATCCCTTTTGGCCAATTAATCCGTTTCTGCCTCCTGTGCTGGCTTTGCTACTGCCATTTTTGCTGTAGCCGCTGTTGTTGGTGCAGTCAAACACAGCAGCTAACAGACAACACACCATCAACAATGCCTGCGTGTTCATTGAACTTCAACTCACCGAAATCTCAGCAGTTTATGCTTGCATGCACACATATGGGGGAGCGGGCTCGTATGCGCCTAGGTAGTTCCAAGGGCGGAAGCTCACTAATCCAATAGACAGAAGTCAACAATTTAGTCTGCTAGCTGGTGAAGGAATTGCTAAGTTGTGTGCCTTCTGTGCAGAGCCTAAACCAAGGCCACTGCCACCCGCGCATAACAGAAGCGCTGATAATGCAGGCCAAGCGGCTGACTCTGACTTGTCGCGTCCTGCACAACGATTGCATGCCTGTCCTTTGCAAGTTCATAAATGACCTGCTAGGCTACGAGCGAACGCTGCTAATGAACACAGGTGTTGTCGCTGCCTTCTCTCTCGCCCGATTCCAAATGTAGCGCAGCAATATGTTTTAGCAGTCCCAAACTAGCAAATGCTCCAGCTAAAAATTTTATTTTTTGCTTGTTGGACCTCGTGGTGCTGCGCACTTTCGCAGGCGCGGAGGCGGGAGAGACGGCGATAAAGGCAGCACGAAAGTGGGGCTACGAAGTGAAGGGCATCAGGGAAAACAGAGCAAAAATTGTCTTTTGCAATAACAACTACTGGGGCCGGACTATTGCCGCCGCCAGCTCCTCCACTACGCCTGACAATTATAGACAGTACGGTAGTCGTGAATAGCTGAATTCCTACGTACATCCCGTATGGACCCACAGAATGAAACAACCTATCCAGTCTGTCTCATAAGCGGACTCCACAGCATCGAGGGCGGCCAAGCCAAGTTAATATTCCATGAAGTGGACCGACCGAAGGAACCAGAAAAACACGAATATGTTTAAGAACGGAATACAACAGGAGAGAGCAAAACACTAGCAAACACCTGGCCGCGCTCTGCCGCCTGTCTTTTGCGTTTGCCTGCAGCTTCGGCCCGTATACACCAGGTTTCGAACTGATACCCTTCGATGATTTACCAGCCCTAGAAAAGGCCTTAGAGGACCCAAATGTTGCTGCGTTCTTCGTGGAGCCTATTCAGGGGGAGGGCGGCGTGATCATTCCCCAGAACGGATATCTTAGGGGTGCTGCTGAGCTGTGCCGGTCGCGCAATGTGCTGTTAATAGTTGATGAGATACAGGCAGGGCTCGGAAGGACTGGGCGCATGCTTGCCAGCGACTGGGAAGGAGTGAGGCCAGATGTGGTCCTTCTGGGGAAGAGTTTGACGGGGGGAACTGTGCCGTGCAGTGCTGTCGTCACAAATGCACATGTAATGAATGTATTTACACCTGGCACCCATGGCTCTACGTATGGCGGGAACCCCTTGGCTTGCGCAGTGGCATATGAGGCGTTGTCTGTACTGGTCGATGAACAACTGGCTGAGAATGCGAAAAAGCAGGGGCAATTTATGCGGGATGAACTGAGTAAGATGAAAGAAAAGTGCAACTTGGAATGGATTAGAGATATCAGGGGAAGAGGGCTGTTCAATGCTGTGGAAATAAATGGAAGTAGTGGTGAAGCTATGCAGCTCTGCATAGAGTTAAAAAATGAAGGAGTATTGTGCAGGCCAACTAGAGGGAATGTGCTGCGTTTCCTGCCACCTCTGTGCATCGATGAAGCACAAATGAAGGATGCCCTTCAGCGTATTCAAAATGTTTTCTGCAGGAAAACATCGTGAAATCACAATTTATTGATTAGTATGGCACGCAAAACCTGGTTTAATAGTGTATGTCACGTTGTTGAAGCAAATAGAAATCTGGACGTCGTGGTGAAGGCGCACGGGTAAGTGCTTCGTAATTATTGAGAATAAATTGGGCGACTATGGCAAAACCTGAGATGTTGTACGTGCGCAGGGTAGGAATATACACTTGAAACTACTTGACATGCTAAAATATTTGCATGCTTCACTGTTAATCTCAATACACATGTGGACAAAAGCAGGGGTCTACGGAGCGTTGTCCCCTTTATCCCTTAACTCTGCCCAATGGATTATGTTGATTTACACCTCTCGGAGGCCTAGGCTTTCGACTTAGGGCTTCAGAGAACGCACTGGCGGGATTTTGCACGGGCCAAAGAGAGGGCCGTTGCTCTTCAGTTTTTGCATCCTAACGGCAAAAAAGGAAGAGAAAGTGAGGAAACAATTTCCTTTTACCGTTTTCTGTTTAGAATTTAGCTTACACGTTTTTAAAGGTCTTTACATGCCAGGGCACGTAGCCAGAGAAAGCGTATGCGAAAACATATCTATGTTTTTATAACTCCATCTAATAAAATCAGATATGGTCAGCTATCGCTATAAAACTGAATCTGGGCTTTATGGATTGTCGAGGCACAATGACTGATCTAATTAATACGCACTGGTTAGACTGAACAAACTCAACGAACGAGGCCACGACGGTGTTAACTGGAGGTTATAGCGTCGCCTTAGCCAGAAGCAAACTACACCAGTCTGCAGAAAGGCCAAGAACTGCACAAGGCATATTACAGGATGTGAAGAGTACACCAATAGATGTTAAGAAACTAGAGATAACAGGTCACCTTAAGCCAGTTGGAACGGTTCGCGGAAGAATGGAAATAAAATATGTATTTTTGAAAGAGGAAAGCCAATAAGGTGTTCACCAATGTACGATATGCTTCCTGCTTCAGAATAATTGAGCATTCGTCTGCTCTACGTGATGTTGCACTGGAAGACGCAGTAAGCACAGAATAATCTCAAGAAGCCAACTTACTGATTTTACCTTCTTCAAAACAGGACTTACAGCCCGACTATCCCTTAAGTTAACGAAAAACACTTGAAATATTGGTTAATTCAAGAATCTGCGGGGTTAGATGAAGCTTCTTTAAGCTAATTGCAGTAGTAAGTGCAATAAATTCATAACCATAACATCGTCATCCAAAATGACGCAGAATTATTTAATAATTGTTGAGGATAATGCGTTCTAAGAGAAATTTATCGTTTGAATCCCTTGAGAATATGTTTGCACTGAGCAAATTGAGGCTGGTTCCATCCCACTGCTTCAGGCTAGACATTTTTTTAGTTGTACAATATCGATTTGAAAATAGCCTTGTTCTGATCGTCCAATTCTCACGATATTTGTATTTTCGTTTTTTTAATTTGATTCTTTACAATGGTAAATCATAAAACTGTAATAAATACCTATCCTTTAGAGGTTTTATATATATATGGTTAGGCCCACTTACCAGTACATTAAAGGAACTTTTACTAGTTTGAACGGACATCGTACGGTTGCTAAGTATTACGTAGGAGAATGAAATACTTAGCAAGTAGCTTCTACTAAATGTCGGTAGACTAGAATGTATGACTCTGCAGCAAGTGACAGCGTGCCCATACTTTTGGGCAAAGGCAAGCTCGTACAAAAAAATGTTAGTTTTCAATGAAGTCCAAATGCAACACACTTACATGCGCACACAGCTTCTGTGGTTCTTTCACTATGTTTATCTGGTATTAGCACCGGGATCCTGAAGCTTTTTCTCTTCTCCTGGAATGTGTAGTAGAATATTTTGTGCTTTTTTGCTTGCCAGGCTCACCGTACGGTGAACCTAACAAAATACTTTCTGAGACAATCGAGCTTCAACACTAATGAACCTAATTATAACCCCGCAACCATTCGGATCACAGAAGATATCTCCAGTGAGAAACCAGAATCTGGTAGAAAGCCCAGACCAGTTGGACCAAACACAAGAGTAGACGCGGTTATACAGAGTGTGGCAGGAAGAATCTTTGTGAAGTGGATAGCGACACCGTCCTGTAGATGCCGTGGTTCGTTCCAAATATTCCGTCACCGAATCATATATTTCTTCTGTGTTGTATGTATATTTTAGCGTTCTATCACATAACTACGAAGCACGTAGGTAGACACGATATTCACAGTATGGGATGCTGGGAAATCCGCTAGTATGGCGTTGATTGTCTCTGCCGTTAGGAAATAAGCTATTCTTTTCCAACTAACCAACAAGCCATACGGCTTTAATACACCTTTATTTGCATGACCTGTTGGATAATAAGAGAAGAGTATTTGCAAGCTTGCATTACGCGCCACACAAGAATTTAACAAACGCTCGTGAAAATTTACGACAAGGAGCATATCAAAATACAGCACCAAAATTTTAGAAGTGCCTTTCTATGCATTCATTATTGGTGCGTATTGTAACTTTAAATGCGTGGATGAAGTATGTTCTGAGGACGTTCAGTGGGGTGAGTAAGCTCTTCATATAAGCAAACAAACTTCCCGAGCTTTGGGCGCTTCGTTTTTCTTAATTTTCCATCTCTTAGGGCTCTAATCAAAATTTTAAAGCAAAGCAAAGTTTTCGCTTGCAAAGTTGTCTTCTTTTTGAAGCGCTGCCGATTTCGTGCTCATTGCAGCCCCGCGCTATGCATGCTTAATAATAATAACACCGCATGCAACAGCCGCCGGATCTATGAATCTGGCACCATCCGTGGCTTCATAACTGTTTGCCCATCAAAATGCTGATTTGGGTTCAAAATCACGAGTAAGAAACCCAGAGAATATCGCAAGCCCCCCCTGTCCGCCTCCCCGAGGCCTGCGCTGCCGCCTCCGAGGACGGCAGCCGTTTACTGTGTTCTGAACTTTTGCACTGGGCACAGTTTTCTCAGTAGTCCCTATTTACTAAGTTACGGGCGATTCTGAGGCGGTAACGGTAGCATCTGAACAGCGCATAAAGGAGCCGTTGCCGGGACCCAGAAAACGGAAGAAAAAAGGAAAAGGAAACACGCAGGTATCACGATGGATCTCGACCAGTACGACGAGTTCGGTAATTACATTGGCCCTGAATTGGAAGGCTCAGAGGACTCAGATGACGATGAAGCCGCCATAGAGGCCGCAGCAGCTGCAGACGCTGCTGCTGCTGCTGCCGCGGCAGCAGCAGGCGCTGCAGGAGGGGGTGTATCTGCAGCTGACGGCGACCTGGCTCGTCGCGGCTTAGTGCGGATGGACGAAGATGACTCTCAGCAGCAGCAGCAGAAGCCCGTGCCTCACGAGTTGAAGCAGTATTACCCCACTGCCGCTGAGGTGTACCCTGAGGCTGAGACGCTAGTGCAGGAGGAGGATTTGCAGCCGATTACGGAGCCCATCATAGCTCCGACCAAGGTGTCAGACTTTGATTTGCTGGAGACGCAGCTGCCCGAGACAACTTTCTCCTTCGACTACCTCGCCAGCCTCATGCACACCCCGCACTGCGTGCGCAACATATGCCTCCTGGGCAGTTTGCACTCGGGCAAGACGACCTTCGTTGACATGTTGGTGGAGGAGACGCACCCGCACCGCTTGCCCCCCGGGCTCTCGCTGCTGACGCAGCACGTGGACACCCCCCACGCGAACAAGAGGCACAAGACTTACTTCCGCAGGTACACGGACACCCGAGCAGACGAGCAGAAGAGGGGCCTCTCCATCAAGGCTGTGCCCATATCCCTCGTGCTACAGACCTCAGCGCACTTCAGGTCTCGCACACTGAACCCCCAAACTCGCGCGGAAGCGCAGCGGCAGGAGGCAGCAGAGGCGGCGGCGGAGACCGACGAGAACAGCAGCAGCAACGGCAACAGCAGCAGCAACGGCAACAGCAGCAACAGCGGCAGCAGCAGCAGCAGCAGCGGGGAGGAGGCGGAGCCATGTGTGCCTTTTGTGGGGCCGCGCAGCTTCCTGTTTAACATTATTGACACCCCAGGCCACGTCTGCTTTTCAGACGAAGCCAGTGCTGCTATGCGTATTTGTGATGGTGCTGTTTATTTCATTGATGCACTAGAGGGGCTTCCTGCAGCTGGAGCTTCGCAGCTGGCGCAGGTGCTAGAGGAAGGGCTGGGGCTCGTGGTGGTGCTCAACAAAATAGACAGACTCATTTTAGAGCTCAGGCTCAGGCCTCAAGATGCCTACTATAAAATTAAGTGCATGCTAGACGAGGTAAGGGCTTTGCAAGTCACGAACCCTAAACTGTGATTCGGGAATGCAAACCCTGAACTATCACCGCTAGAAGGCGTACTTACACCTCAGCTGCAGCGCAGACTGAGGGCTCAGTTACACGCTGTAGTACAAATTCAGGCCTGAAATAAATGGGCTGCAACATGTGGAGCTTACATGCTATTAGGCAGACACTGCTTGTTCTTCCTGTTTTCTGTCTGTCCTTCTCCGGCTAGTGGAATGCGACTGTACTCACTGATTTTGAAGTTTTACATGACCTTCCCTCTAACTACGGCGGGTTACGCGGCTGATTTCGTTTGTTATATTCACATGGTGTTCTGCTGCAGTTAAATGAGACGCTGGAGACGTTGTGTTCCGTCAGGGGCCTTCCTCGTGTGGTGATATCTCCTCGCCACAGGAATTTGCTCTTTGCAATGAGTCAGTTTTCTTTTGTCTTTACTGTGGAGTCCTTCGCCGCGCTTTATTTCGATTCCTGTGTATTCAACCCCACTGCAGCAGCAGCGGCAGCAAAAGAAGCAGCAGCAGCAGAAAACAGCAAAAGGGATAAAGCCAATCTCTTTGGGGGCGTACCCGTGCAGAAACTGCTCGAAGCAGAAGCGCTTTATCAGCAGCAGGATGACAGCAACAGCAGCAACAGCCGTCGGCGGCGGCAAAAGGAATCTGAGGAAGAAACGCAAGAGAGGAGCAACAACAACCCTGATGACGTGTACACTCAGCTGGAGCTCTT